ATAACGGCTGCTGGTTATCTGTATGATGTTGGAATATACACACGAAGATGATGGCTGAGGGAATGGAAACAAATGGAATAAAATAATTCTGAGACATTACAAATGATAGGAACACCTGTCATAGAACATGTTATCGGGTCAGGCTGATACGGTGGAAAGCCAATTTTAGGTAGAACTGAAATTCATTTCGACTATGCTTCTCCATTGCTGAGCAATTTATGGAACCTCTTTCAGCTTTGCCATACCCTTCACTAAATGGAGATTTTGGTATCATTAGTGTTGTGAAGATGAATCAGGTTTTAGTATGACTGATGTGTCATGATGATGGATTCCTCATGCAGCTTTGAAAATTCCCTTGGTATGTATGTGTCATCCCCTTTTGCATCCAAGGCACTCCACAGTCTCACTCACACTGAGATACCCCCAATCTTACTTTCTTAGCCTGACTACCTGGTCTTTGGACTGTCCAGGACTTACAGAAGGCTGACTGGCTCAGACTGTAAGCTTCTGGGTATGCTGCCTCTTTACAAGGATCTCTGGTTTATCTTTGTGTTCCTTAGATGATGGTGGAGGAAGAAAAACAGAGGTAATGGCTTTAAGATTAGAGTGTGGACTGCCAAACTCACTAACTACAGTCAGAGGATCGCCAAAATGCCAGGGGAGAGGAAGTGTCTGAACTGAAGGTTTCCAATGGAGAGTCACAGAGGCTTACCTGGTGGAATCTTCCCAACCTGTCAGGTAAGTGCCAGCTAGACACCGAAGACAACACACCCAACCTTAATACTACTTATCCATTCACTTTATAAGGATAACAACCACAAGTATTTTTGATTTTCAGAAACTTAACTCTTTGTGGAGGAAAGAGTTTATTTTACCTTATAATTCTCAGGTCACACTCCATCACTGAGGGAATTTAGGGTGGGAACTCCAAGTAGGAACCTGGAGGCAGGAGCTGATGCAGAGGCCACAGAGGAGTGCTGCTTACTGGTTTGTTCCTCGTGGCTTGCTCAGTCTGTTTTCTTACAGAACTCAGGACCACCAGCCCAGGTGGGATGGACTTTTTTACATCAATCATTAATCAAGAAAATGTTCCACAGACTTGCCTATAGGCTAGTATTATGGAGGAATTTTCTCAGTTGAGAGTCCCTCTTCCCAAATGACATTAGCTTGTATCAAGTTGAAAAAAAAAAAAAAAAAAACTAGGACAAACAAATGGAATCTAGAGCCTACAATCTCAACAGGGTGAAAATGAGCCCTTGGAGGGTCAAACTCTCTGACTGCTTTATATCTAAACTACAGATAAACTATACAGTGCATGTATGGCAAACACAGACATTATATAACACAGATACACTACACAGTAATGCATAGTACCACAGATATATGTGCAATTTGTAGTATCTGTAATGCTACATTTTTCCACCATGATATTTTTATTGATTATTTGGGAATTTCCCATAATGTACTCTGGTCATGCTTACTTCCCAGTCCTCCCAGGTACACACACACCCCAAACTTAACCTTTAAATATATTTTGTGAATACGCCTTGCATCTAAGTAGAGAGTTGCCTACATACATAGAAATATGGATAGCATTTGTTTTAGAAATATTTTAATTCATTGCATAGAAAATAAAGCACGATGACATTAATGACAATGCAACCATGGATGCTTCTAATGTCACAATGAACATATATAAATGATTAGTGGGGGAACTAATAAATTAAAATAGTCTTCCAAGACCACTCTGTCATGATGAATCTTTTCTGTATCAATTGCTGCATTCCAAGAGGATCTAAAACTGAAGGCCCTCCTTAGGAACTACCCAAAATGATTCAATTTAGAGATGACATGTCATAATCAGACATGAGAGACAATTTTTCCCAGGAATACATTTTACTTATCAATGGACACAATGCAGAACAAAGCAGAAATAAGAAAATAATTAAAGTGAATGTATAAATAAGTTTAAAGGTTTTAAAATCATTTTTCATCTATATCTTCGATGTTTAGTGATATTTATTAGAGTTCTGTCATCTAATGCTTAGAGTAAAATACAAAAGCAGACATACTTTTGAAAGGAGAAAAAAATTACATGTTGAAGCCCTTTTGATTATAATTTTATTTGTTTACAGAATTTTCATGCATTGGATAAAATGACCTCCATGTTTGCTTGTTTTTCATGACTTTTCTAAAGTCGTGTCTCCTTGCCTGGCCAGTACTTGGGCTGCAGCACATGATCCCTTGCAGCACATGTTTCCATCTTGAAGCTTGAAGACACCACTGTTTTGTCTCTGGTGGTTATGAAACTGCTGGGTTTTGAAACATACTTTTTCTTTAAAACAAAAAGTACAGCCATGCTTAGGAAAATGGACACTGTACCGAGGAGTGTGGTCAGTCCCAGGTATATGTGTCTAAAAGAGGAGAGAATCTCGGTTATAATTATTGCAACTACTCAACTTGAAATAAAACAAACTGAAGGTTCTAATAGTGTGATGATGACTCTCTTGAAGGACACAGATTTAGAGTAGGCCTGTGGCTATGAACACTGGTGACCTACTACCAGCCGTTTGCTACTGTATTTCTTAGTAGTATTGTCATTCCGAGTTACTGCAAATGATATAATAAACTCCATTTCCTCTGTAAGGAGTTCCTGAAGTCGGGCAGCCATCTTCCTGCTTGCTCAGGGCAGTCCCAGTTAGGCTACTGCTGTACTAAGTATAATTTTAAAAGAATCTCTTTCACTTTCCAAAGTATCTAGGTTTGACTAAGTTATGTGGTGATCCTGCCTCAAATATTCCTCTCACACATTCCAAGGAAAGGCTGCAGCAAGTAATTTGAAGGAGGGGTCAGAATTCTTGTGGCACAGAACTGCCTGAAAATGCGCCTGACGCTCAGTTTGCTCTCTTGCCTCAGAAGTCTTAGTACCAGAAGAACACAGAAGGACAGGCTTTAAGCTTTGTCCTGGTCACATAGTAAATGCTCTCACAGTCTCCACCTCACACAACTGGCACATTACAGTGAATACTTAGTCTCAGCAAATGAGAGCAGACGCCAAATCATACTCCCCAAACTGGCCTGGGTCATGGACCAAAAACCCTTTACACATAAACATCAAAGTCTATTAAACCTATCTTATTTGAGATGGTCTGATTAATTCACATTCAACTGAGATGCTGGAGACTCAGCTTTACTTCTTTAATACAAAGTGTTCAGCTTGTAAGTCTTTGAAAAAAAGGAAGTCCCTGGTCTTAAGCCATTGGAGTATGGCTTTAAGCAATAAGGAGAATAAAGGTTTGATGAACAGGACTGAATGATACCGTAATGAGAAAACCACGCTCTCCACCCTAGACACGCTCACCCACACAGAGGAAGCTTTTTACTTTTATGCATTTCAAGTACTGGAATAATTGAACATCAGCTTGGCAATAAGAGCCGGACGGATTGAGAGCCAAATCCAGATCTTGCCCAGGGGATTAGTGCTGACGTAAATGGTACAGTTTGGCTCAGTTTAAAAAAGAATAGAATTAAACCCAGAATGTGACCTAAATTTAAATGCATCTGAGTTTCAGGGAATGTCTTGCCATTTATGTGCAAAAACTTTCAGAAATGTCATTATATTCTAGAAATTTTCATCATTTGTCATATGTGTGTGCTCATGAGTATATGCACGTGTGTGTGTGTGTATATGTGTGTGTGTGTGTGTGTGTGTGTGTGTGTGTGTGTGTGTGAGATAAGGCAGGGTTGCTCACTCTGTAGATTCAGGTTAGCCAAGAACATATTATATAGCTCAGGCTGATCTCAAGGGCTCAAGGGAGCATTAGTTCTCTTCTGTCAGCCCCCTAAAATTCTGGGATTCCAGGTGTGAGGCATTTTATCTGACTAATTTTCATCATATTAAAAAATGATTATTTGAGAGGGACATAAATTAGAGCAAAGTATAATGATACATGTGTGTAAAATTCATTAAATCTATTACTTTGTATAATAACTTAAAAATTAAGAATAAAATAATGATGACAGTTAAAATGAAATTGAGTGTTAACACTGGGAACTATATATCTTAAGTCAAATATCAAATAATAGAATTGTATATGAAACAGCTCCCAGTTTTTGGTTGATTTATCTTATAAACATGGAAATTACATAAGAAATTCTAGGTTTCAGTGATGTTGCATAAAATGTGATGTAGCAGCACAGAGATCTGGGAATGTGTTTGACATGGTACCTGAAAGCATGTGAGTCATACAGTCTGCAGGAGCCTCTGCTTCCACATTTTTTAAATCCCCATTTGAGGCATGAAGTGTCAATCAAAACACCAAAATACACAGGAGCTGGGATTCCTGCTGCAAGAAACACAAATGATTGCATCTAAGTTTTTGGTCATGAATGGTGACATAGAACCACTTACCTTGAGCCCAGTAATCACTGCTTGGGAGACAAAAAGCCATAGTTTCTCACAGAGACCTCTTTCTATGGCTCAGTGTTTGGTCCCAAGCTCTGGACTCATGCAGTAACTCTCATTAGTATACCTCCATGTACACATCTCCTGATGCATTACACTCAATGTGAACACAACTTCTCCCTCGACTGACTCACCGAGTGGCCAGGGCGAGGAGCTTGGATGCCATCTTTGAGCCCCTCGCTCATTTTTAGTACATCCCAAGTCATGTAAAATCTCTACTTGGGTGTCTATTCTCTTCTCTGTACTGCTGTAATGTAAAGCTTAGCAACGGTATGTGTACAGCTCACTAGTAGATAATTTGCCTAGCATACTTCAGGGCCCTGGGTTCAATTCCTAGCAACCCCACTCCCAATAAAAGCAATAGCTAAAGATTCCTTTTGCCAATCACCTTAGCACTCTCTTACCTATTTACTATGCAAATAACCACATAGATAATTGCCTAAGGTGTTTGTTCCAAGACCAAACAGTACATTTCTGGCCTCATTAAGGTCATATTCATTGGCTTATATTTTGGATCTCAGTTTTATTGAATGTCTTTTGATGCTTAAAATACTCTGTCCTCTTGCCTACTGCCTTCAGTAACTTTCTTTCTCTGAAACAATTTGACTTTTCTTATCTCCCCCCACCCCCGCTTTTTTTTTTTTTTTTTTTTTGGTTTTTTTGAGCAGGGTTTCTCTGTGTAGTTTTGGAGCCTGTCCTAGAACTCGCTCTGTAGATTGGGCTGGTCTCCAACTCACATAGATCCTCCTGCCTCTGCCTCCCAAGTGCTGGGATTAAAAACTTGCACCACCATCCTGCCTCCCTGCCCCCCTCTTCTTAATGCACACATACCCTTTGAGTCTCAGTTTAAGTGATTCCCTTCAGAAAGGGCCGTTCCTATGACCTAAAGTGTATTAATTCTGCTCACCAGCCTACAGTACTTGTTCCCTTTCACAAACCCTTAACGCTCTTGGAACAGCTTATTTAATTGTGTTCTCTGCCAGAACACAAACTATGCAGGCACAGGAAGTTCCTTTCTTACTTGGGCTGTAGTGCTCATCGTTGCTCAGTAACTGATTATTGAGGGCACAATCCTTTCTAGGGAGAAAAGATAATTCTTACCAACAAATTCCAACAAAAGTTTTCTGGAAGGATTGAAATGAGTTCACAGCTTCATTTCTGTTTTATGTATTGCAATCAGATGGTCTATTAACATCTGTTTTGCACCATTGTTGCTGTTGTTTATGAGTCGCCAACATTTTTACACCTAACAAAGGAATAGTTCAAGGTATTTGAATGAACCATGGTGGGGAAAGCATGCCAAGGGCTTGGTCCATGTAGCAAGGGCATTCTTGGTAAACGGCTATGCCAAGAAGCATAGAAAACTCTGGCTAGAAATTGACAAGTTATCGACCTCAAGCCCCCCCTCCATCAGAGATACCCTCCTCCAGCTAGGTCTCCCCTCCTAAAGGTACCCCAACCTTCCAAATGGTGACATCAGCTTGGTTTCTGACACTCAAACAAATGAAACCCCCGGGGCACATTTCATATTCAAATCACAGCATACAGTTACACAAAAGAGTGTACTCTTACTAAAGTCATCCTAATGTATTCATGGCACCATCATGACAAACAGGCCTTTGATAACAAACAGGAACTACTTTTAAAATGTTGTCTGCTTAAAATTCCATTGAAGTTTTATAAATAGTCATGACATAATTGATTTAATTTCGATTCAATTATAGTCATTTCAGCTTCAGGCAAAACATATGGCAGAAATGAAATAATGACGTCATCTCACAGATCACTTATTATTGACAAATGATCTGTATTGTGGAGACGGTTATGGCCCTCACTTTCACCAAGAGGCCATTATCCAGTGATAGTCTACCCTAAAGTCAGCTTTCAGGACAGAATGGGCAAAATGACACACAGTGTCACCTATATAGTTCTCACCTGAAATATTTTATTGACTGTTTACAAAAACAACCAGGTAAATGCAAATGAAGAGTAGCCATAAAGATGACAGACTTGCCTAAATACAAAAAGGAAGGATTATTAGAGGCTGACAAGGGTAGCTAAATGTAGTACATGGCCTTCCACTCACTTTGGAACAAGAGTGTAGAAGGACATCATTATAGTGAATTAAATTCAATTGTGTAATATATAGAAGATACAATAACACACTGGTACCAAATTTCTTGACTGTGACAATGTATTGTGGTCATACAAAATGATGACATTTGTACCTGTAGAAGAGTATAAGCTATGGTCCTTAAACAGTGACGTGCCAGGAAGTCCATACTCATTTGAAATTGTGCATCAGTATAAACTGTAGGAGGCTCAGTTTAAAGAAAGCGTTGGAAGAACCTGAGTGGATGTAGTCTAACAACCTGGTGATCTTTTTGCTATTTTATGGAGCCAGCCTTCCTGAATGCCCCAAAACTGGGAGCACGGTTTAGGCCCTTACCTTGAGCTTTGTCTCTCAGTGAGTGGAATCTTTCTTTATGAAAAAGGCCCATGTACTTTGAATCCTCCATCAACAGAATCTATCCTTATGCTTATCACAGATCCTTCCTTCTTAGGCCCTTACCCTGAGTGCTGTTCATCAGCCAATAGGACTCATTCTTGGTAAGGTTACAGGTGCTTTGATAGCTTGCCAGGGGATTTCAATGTAGCTGTCCCTGAAGCTTTCTTGTGATGATTGTGGAGACTTTCCCCCCAAGTTTTACTGTGCTTAAATGTGTAAGAAAAATAAACCATGAGGTCAGATGCTGGAAGTTTTGATCCAGAAGCTGCTAAAGTAGTGCTGACCCAAGTTTCATTCTTCACCTTCCATGGATTATTTCCCAATGTCCATGACACTTCTGGGGCCCCTGACAATAAACCAATATAAACACACACACACACACACACACACACACACACACACACACACACACACACACACACAGACAATGTTTTAGAAAGAGAAGGAAAAAAATGTCCTTTTGATTATACTTACCAAGAACTCTTATTGCTAAAGTGTAGATACCCAGAGCAAAAGATTTAAGTTGTGGTTGAATGCACCTAAAATAGGAAAAGCACCATTTAGAAAATATGGCCTGAGAGATTTCTCAATGGTTAAAGCACTTGTCACACAACTATGGAGGCTGAAGTTCAGACACTCAGAACACACATAAATATTGAGTGGACTTGGTAACCTGGCTGTTAGTCCAGCCTGAGAAATCAGAGGCAGGCAATCATCAGAGCGAGATAGCTAATAAGACTAACATAAGTGCTGACTAGGAAATGCTGCTTCAAGGAATAAGGTAGAAGGGCACTGGAAGAACATTTGAGGAGATTGCCAACATCAGTCTAGGGCCTGCTCAAGAGTGCACACCCACACGAGTGTGCATTATACACATGCAAACATGTACATGTATACACACCACACACACACACACACACACAAGCACCTTTTCATACAACCTTTAATCTGGTCATGATTATCTAATCATTATTCTTTAATTTCATTAATTTTATGTAAAAGAGAGATACAAAATTTAAAATCCTCACATTTTAAAATACATGATCTACCAGAAATCAATGCTTAACTTGTATTTAAATAATTATTTAAAATGTATATTCTAATTAAAATATACAAAGGAATGCATATTTTAGGGTCTTGTATATAAAATTGTTTTGAGTCATTCACATAATATTCGTAGATTAGAGTTGATTAAAAAACATAACACCATCATGGAAAATTCCAGTCTTAGCAGTAATGTGTAAAAAATAATAGCCTATAGATTAAAAAGTCCAGTTCAAAACACCATGTTATTAAACATACCTTTAAAGTATTTCACAATTGTCTATTACATACATTTTATGGAAGGTACATTTTTTCTGTGTTATTAATCCTGACTCCAACATCAGAAGCCCCAAATGGTGTTTAGTGTAAAACTTCAATGATGTAGGTTTTAACATTGCTCTAGATCAAGGGTTTACAAATATATTGAACTAAGAAAACTCTATTCAGCTACAAAAACCTAAAGTGGGCTCATCTGACAGTGGAATTAGGGGCTGGGGCCAATTGTTTCAAAAAGCTATCAAGAATCATGGCCACAGAGAAGAGTATATGTTGTATTTGATAATAAAGTTGGAGTGAGGAAGACTCAACACTCACCTCAGGAGTAATATATACCCAGGTATGCCACCTAGAGATAACGTATATGACGTGATGACTGAAATCACAAGGAAATACAGAAACATTTGGGGACATCCGTTATCTTTCTGACACCTGCCCATCATGCCTGACCAGTTTCCTGACTTAGGGGCTGCAAGTCCTACACAAGTGCAGTTAGAAAATATCTGTAACACAGTAGAGAAAAGTCCAATTATTGAGATACATTTAATTAAATCAGAAGTTACATTTTTCTTTTAAATACTTTTTAATATAATATATATGTATTACATGAGCAATGGGAAATATTTTTGCTATATTAACATATATTAACATATTAATATATCAACATATATTAAGGTAAAGTCTAATAGAGTATTTCACTGTTTAAATAGTGACCTACAGTCTACACATGACTGTCACTACTATTTCATGCTTTGATTATTGTCATGGTTATCTTTGTGCTCAACCTACTTCAACTCTCACCAACCACAATCTGCTTTCCACATAGTAACCAAGTGAACGTTCAAATTCTCTCACTGCCCTCAACCCTGAAATTAGGATTCCTTACACATTTGTAAGAATCCCAAATCGCTGTAGTGAATTATCCATTCTTATCATGTAGCTCCCAGATCTCACCCTGATCTCATTGGTCAACAATCTCCCCTATTAACCTCTGCTTTGTTGACACAAATGGCTCCCACAATGGCGAATTTGCAGGTCTGTTTTGTCCTAGAACCACCCCTCCCCAGCTTGAACACAGCAAATTCATCTATATCTCATGGTCCTGTTACTCCCCATTCAGGAAAGTTTCCTCTTGCCTGTTCAGCTTTCCTTTCTCTACTTAGAGATTTCTTTAGAGAGAAGTTTCATGACCTCCCCTTCTAAACCACAGCCCGTCTGTCTGCTCTGGTATCCTGATTCAGTCTCAGTCACTATGTACATGGCTATTTATCTTTAAGCTTCATCTCTCTACTAGAATATAACCTCTATGAAAGCAAGATCACCCTATCTTGTCACCACTACATGTCCAGAGCCTAAAATTGACCTCACTTTCAGTATTTAAGAAAAAAAAAATCATTAAATAAACGAGCAGAATTAGAAGATATGGAAGAATTTACATTGTCTTTTAGGGAAAATAATCCTTATGCATAAAAGGGAACTAAATCTTTATGCATAAAAGTGAACTAAATCTTGAATATGAAGATGTAATTCTGTGCAGTTTATTTATGAAATGAGAATCTCATGATATTTATTATCTATTTGTATCATACATTAAAAGAGTCCTAGTTTTTTTTTTTCAACTTGACAGAAGTCAGAGTTATCTGAAAAAACTATAACTGAGAAATTGCCTTCATAATATTGGGCTGTAGGCAAGTCTGTAAAGCATTTTCTTAATTAGTGATTGATAAGGGAGGGCCCAGTCCACTGTGGATTTTCACCCTTATGCAGGGGTTTCTGCATTGTATGAGAAAGGAGAATGAGCAAGCCACAGGGAGCAAGCTAATAAGCAGCCATCCTTTAGGGCCTCTGCTTCAGTTCCTGCTTCTAGGTTCCTGCCTTGAGTTCCTGCCCTGGCTTCCTTGGATGATGGACTGTGATGTGGAAGCATAAGTGAAATAAACCCTTTCTTCTCCAAGTCATGGTACTTTATCATAGCAATGGGAATACTAACTAAGACAACAAATTGTCATTTTCATCACTGAAGAGTGAATTTGCAAATAAAGAATGAAATAAAGTTGACATAATTAATATATATATTAATATATTTATATATTTATATATATATATTAGTTCTAATCCTGATCTTGTTTGATTGCTGTTATTTGTTCCCATGTCTCACTGTCATCTGGGATGTTCTCAAATGTGTTGGGCTAAGCATTCATAACTAGCCAATAATTATATTTAAATATATTTGTGCTGTTCAGTTTTTATGGAAGACAGCATTTGGCCTGAAATGCCAAGATGGGATTAGAGAGGGGAGTCTGTTAATGACTGAAGGACATCAAGTTCTTCACAGCTAGTTTCAGTTATGCACTGAATGCTCATCCCAGTTTACTTACCTCACTGCTCCTGTGCAGTGAGATATGGAGGTAAGGCCTTTGGAAGGTCAGGAAGATAACATTTTCAGGAATTAGTGTCCATATAAGAAAAAAACACACTTTAAAGTTTGAACAGTACTGGGGATTGGGTTTCCAATTGACAGGGATTTGTGGAAAAGACTAGATCATGAGGATTCTGAATTAATCAATAGGTTAATTCTTTGATAAATTCTTAATATGGTGGTATTATTGGAGGTGGTCAAAGTGGAAGAAGGGGCTAGCTGGAGGAAGCTGTCACTGAGGAGGGCCTTAGAAAGATGCAGCCTGCCTTCTGATCCCCTTTCCCTTCCAGTTCAGTGTGAGGTTGATGGTGTCTATCACACAGTTCCCTGCAAGGTAAACTGAAGCACCACAGGTCCAGAAATAGCAAGCCTAAGGTCCATGGCCGAAGACACTGAAAAGTTACTCTTGAAAAGCACTTTCCTCTCTTTCAATGCTTCCTCTCAGGGAATTGTGAGAGTGACAAAAAGCCGACTGCTACAGACACCTTGTCCTTCCTTTATGCCTTCTGCTCTGAGGACATCTGCAAACCAGGTAGTCAGCCCTCATCTTGCACTGGACCCACTGGCTCTTTCAGTTGGACTTCATTTCTACAACTGTGGAGAATAAATGCTTGCAGTTCAAGTCATTTGTCTCAAATACCTGGACAGACTGAGCAAGCTTCCTACCTGGAGTTCTGACTCCATTCCCACTCTACAGCAACTCGGCAGCTCAGACCATCTACTCTTGATCAAGCAGAGCTGCTTCAAAACCATCAACTTCCCTGGAATCAGTTCTGCGTCCCTGGATCCATATCTTCACATACAGATATCTCTTAACCCCCCATATTTGTGCTGTTCCTAAAACCTCCTGTATCTACTAACTTTGAGATCAGGGGACACAGATCCTAAAGTAGATCTTAAAAGTGATATAATATGTTTGGGACTTTCTTATTCTGGGCTAATAATTTTCACAATATAATGAGAGATGTAGACTAAACAATTATGAATGTTGTTATACCTGATTCATTACTAATCCTTTCCTTAATTCTTTCAGTTTTAGATCCACAAGAGTGTTTTAAATTCCCTACATTTATATACAAATACAAGGGTTGGGTCAGAACAAGGGATTCTGCCTGTGTGACCTCCCATGACCCCATTGGACCAACATGGGTCTACACAGTAGCCAGTTAATAGGCAGATACATTAGGAGAAGTTTCTTACAATGCTCTTTCCACTCTGACTGGAGGATTGACAACCAGCAAGACAAGCTGACACATATGTGATCCCATTGTCCCCACACATGGGCTCCCATTTTGACTCTGAACATTTACATCTTGAGTTGCAATCTGAAAAGAGAGCTCGTTCATGATAAGAGACAGGTTTGGTTCTGAAAAGAAACGTAAGAGTATAAAATATTACCTCTTGGCAGGCAAGATCTTATTTTAAAACTGTCAATGCTCTTGAGTCATATAAATTCTGTGATATTGGCAACTGTTTGTCTTTTGAAAATACAATTGTGTTAAAGATCTTAGCATCTAAGTGTTAAATATGAGGCAACTGTTAACTGACTCTACCTTAAGCTATGTCTTAAAAGGTTTGCCCATTCTAGCCACATCCACTTCTTAGCTTAAAGGTCTTATTAAAGTCTCCTGATTCCTGGGTCCTGTAATGAATTTCTGAGCTAAGGTGGTTTGGTCCATGGTTACAAGACAGAAAAGTGAAATTCAAGGTATATTTATGACATTATGCATGCTATCTTTTGTAACTGTGTGGACATCAGTATGATGGATATTGCTGATAGTAAAGAATAAAAGCAGCTAACAGTGAATATCCTTCTTATACCTAGTTGCATATGTCTTCCAAATAATGCACCATGGATCCTTTGTCTTTATATTCTCTGATATGGAAATATAAAATATAGATATGATAGGATAAAAGGATGGATTGTTGAACTTACTTTTAAAGAGCAACTTGTTTAAAATGTTTTACATTGCTATTGATTTTAGTTGTTGATACAAATTTAAAGTTTAAAGTTAATTTTGTTATACTGTATATATATTTCTACTCTCGATTAAGATATTATGTTTATGTAACTCATTTAAATTGTAATGGATAATTAAGAAATACAGATTAATAACTAGGCTTCTATGATAGTCAAACTTAGAGTCATGTTAAGTTTTCTAGGTATACATTTCTAGGTATACATAGATATAATTCAATTAGGTAGGTAATCTTCAAACATTTCAAAGACCTACAGAATATGGCATTTAAAATGTTTTAAAAACTTAGACTTTCTGGACAATGAGACATGTTTGCTCCTGGCAACACTGATTTGCTTTAGAGAGAAAGATGGGGGTTGAAGACACTCCATATGGAGTTTATCTTCTTGGAAAAATAGCCATTTGGGCAAGAAACTGTTCTTGCCTAGACTGCTTGACAAAATGTTATATTGACTAGACATTCAGGACCCATAGGAAGGTGACCACTGAACTTTGCAAGGTGAGATGGTCCTTCAGTTTCCTGCTTCACAGAAGAAATTACCAGACATTCTACAGGACACAGAGAGAAGCAACTGAGAGACTCTAGGCCTGTAGGCTGAAAAATGGATACCCCAACATTGCAGAAGAACTTTGGGTAACAGTCCAAGCAGCCAGCTGTCTCTGTCATTCTAGGTTTTTGGAAGTTGCTTACAAAGCATTTCCTATTTACTTAGATAATATTATATCCTTCTGAGGTCTTTGATGTAGTTGAAGACTAGATAGTCATAATTTTCCTTAGTTATGATAAAAGATAAGTTAGATATAAAACCTTAGACTCACAAATATAGGATAAATAGAATATTTTCTTTGAATTTGCCAAATACAAATATACTAGATATTGTAACTGTAATTCTTGCTTGATAACTATTTTGTTATATATAATTTTACTATATTAAAGTTTAAACTTTCCTCTTTTAATTAAACAGAAAAGGGGATAATGTTTTTGTACATTCGTTTAATAAAATGCTGATTGGTCAGTAGCCAGGCACGAAGATAGGATAAGCAGACAAGGAGAATTCTGGGAAGAGGAAGGCTGAGTCAGGAGATACCAGCCCACCATCCAGGGAGCAGCACACAAGGGCACACAGGTACAGCCATGGAAAACATGGCAACATATAGATTAACAAAAATGGACTGAGTTTAAGTGTAAGAGCTAGTCAGTTGTAGGCCTAAGCTAATGGCCACGCAGTTTTAATTAATATAAGCCTCTGTGTGTTTACTTGGGTCTGAGTGGCTGTGGACTGGGCAGAACACAGGAAAACTTTCAGCTACAATTCTTCCATGTACAAAGGTCAGTGGCATCCTTCATCATCTTTGCTTACAGAGTCCCCTATTATTCAATGAATTTACAACTCATTTAGCCACAAAAATTTATTGGAACACTCTGAAGCACTAACTTTGGGAGGATGGAAGATGTTTATAAATATTAATGGATAATACTTATCTTCCAAGTGTTGGTTTTCTTGAACTTTTTTTTCTCTTCCTCTAGTCTCTCTACAGGGCACTCACCCATTGGTGTGTCATTTTGGCTTCATGTTATGTGTAATACCCATAGACCTTTCATAATTCAGTTTCCTCCCTTATTTCATTTTCTTTTGTGTTGATCTCTCACCATGAAGATTTTTTTATGGAGGTATTTTAGAGACTTAAATGAATAAACAATATTTTGAAATGTACACTCAGTAGAGGCCAGATCAGTTTGTTTATTTATTCCTATGCTGCTAGTGTCAAATATAACTCTTAGCACATAGCAGAGTTAGAAACATGGTTTATGGGACCTGAATCATCAAAGAAAAAAAATGTCTTTTCATTTGAGTCTAGGTTCTGCTATACGGTGTGGTCAAGCTTGGGTGTGGCTTGAACTCTCAGACCACCTGCTTCAGCCTCTCTAGTGTTAGTATTTAAAAGATGTTAGTATTCAAATCACATTCATCAAAAGGAGGTATTTAGAGAAAGAACCAGTGCTTTGGGCTCTTGCTTCTAATGTGTATCTAACCTATATGATTACAGCAGTAATTTCTTAGTTGAGGTAACAGTCCATCTACTCAGGCTGCTGTGGATTGGGCCATCTCAAAGGTCACGCCAAATGGAACAAAAGGGCATTTAACTGGGTCTCTGCGAAGTCCTCTGGGACCATTTAATCTTCTCTTACATGAAGTGTTAATTGCTGGCTGAGATGAATGGTTTCATCTGAAGTTGTAATGACAATAATGTCTTTGAAAGACCAGCATCAGTCCCCATAGGCCCTTTGAGGTCAAGGTCACAGATGATTGGACCTCCAGTGAACCTTGATGTGATAGAGGCCACCCACTCACATGCATATCAGGAAGGTCAGGTTAGACTGGGCACTTGCTCAAACTCACATTTTTTGTTAGTCACAAACCTGGGAGTGGACCCTTCCAGGCCTGTTGCATCTAAATTCTTGTTCTCATATCAGCATTATTCTCCTTACTAAAAAACAGATATTCCCTTAGCTGTCAGCTCAAGCTTGTCAATAAAGGACCTCTTGGGTGTCTACAATCAAAATAACCTTTCAAACAAAGCAACACAGGACAATCTCAGGGGAAGCATTTTCCATTAAAGTTAATTATTTTACATTACTGGGGAATATGTTTACTTTGCCATCTAGAGCAGACTTTAATTGCAAGCACATCTATATGAAGGATGTGTTTGACAGTAGGGTTGTGGCTTAAAATTTTAATTATAAGAAGGGTTCCAACAAACATGTTTGAGTGTTTATTCCCCAATGAGACTTCTTTCAGAGAGCTGTGCTGAGAAGTGAGGTGCTTTCCTAGTGGTGCTGCCCTTCTTCGATTGCTTCCACTGGCACAGCTATGCTCGAAGGTTAAATCTTTGTCATTTGTGGGGGATGTTTTAAGAGTATGGAAAGCAATTCTGAAAAAGGAGTTTCAGAATGCACCAAACAATGCCAGCATTGACTGCAATTCAGCTACAGTCTCTCAAGGTGACTCTGCTGAAGAGGCTAGTACTCAATGGTTATATTATCTTTTATTTCTTTAAAATATTTTATCTTTTATCATTCATAATATGAACCTCAAAAGTTTGCAGCTGTTGTCTATGTATTCACTTTGCCTTAGAAACAGCATAATGCAGAAAGAACGGTATACTTTGAGTCACGCCTGTGTGCAAGGTCAAGATCTGCCTTTGATAGACATTAAGTTTGGGAAGCAAATTGACTTTTTAAAACTCACTTTCCTTCAAAGAAGTTTAGCAAAACTAACTTGCATAAGGGTGTAGAGGATATGCATTAGAAAATGAAACTCATGATGCTTTCTAAATTGAAAACCACAAACGATTCCACCATGCTGGTCTATAATGAATATAAAAGGTACAGCCAAAGACAGCACAAGGCTTCTATTCTCTGCAAAGTCTTCAAGCAATTCATAGTTACCATTAACACTCTCATTGTCCATTTCTGACCCCAGTGGACTCTTCAGCCTCATAATCCTGCTAGGAATACATTTCTATTTAACTTTGCATTCACTGTTTCCATTTTAAACAGGAGAAATTATAGTGTGTGCTTAGTTGCAAGCAGAAGACGTCATGTTGGTGAAGAAAATGGAGGCTAGAATGTAGAGGTAAGGCAGATGATCAGAAAGAGCAACAGGCTGTCAAAGGACTGCAGAATATAGGAGAGATTAAAAATGTAGAGGATTAAAAATATCCTCTATAAGCCTATGTGCTTGAATACTTGACTCTACCACTAGGTGGTGGTGTTGGGGGAGGCTGTGGAAGCTTTGGGAGGTGGCATCTGTAGGTCACTGGGTCAGAAGGCCTTGAGATTTGTAACACAATGTTCCTTCCTGTCTCAGCTCTGTCTCCTGGTCTGATGAGATGGGAGCAAGCAGTTCCTATGCACTCACAAAGCCATGGGGCCACCTGCTGCTATTCCTTCCCCTCTATGATGGCCTGTATATGTCCCTTCAAACTGTGAGTCCAAGTAAACACTACCTTTCTCAAACTGCTTCTTGTTAGGTATTTGGTCACAGGCATTGAAAACTGAAACTAATGAATACAAGACCTGGAGAGCCTGCCTTTCTGCCTCTGCAGGGCTTCAAGCAGTCTGGTAGATTTAATCTAAATCCTCTCTGGTACATGGTAGAGGCTCAATAACATCTGTAGATGAACAGTGTAGAATAATTGAAAGGATGCAGACTCTCCCTCTGGTGGAGTGATAAGAAGGATTCTTAAATGGGATAGTGAAATAGGTCTTGGAAGATCCAGCCTTGCATTAAGAAAAAAGCTAGAAACAACACAATTAAATCACCTACCACATATGGGATGGCATAGGAATGAGGGTAAAAACAGGAAATGTAAGTTATTCATGTTCTTCAGACTCAGTGCAAGATGGACAGGTAAAGATAGCTGCCATGAGATAACTTTTTCTGCTGAACTTTGCTGTATTTTTAACACAACAGAGACTAGGAGGGATGGCCTAAAGACCAACCCACTTAACTAGGAGTCCAGAGGGGACAAAAGGCAACTGCTTGAAGCAATTTTATGGCAGGCAAGTGCTAATCACTACCATGTATATGACATTACTTAAGACTTCCACAATCTTAAAAGACAGTTGTTATTCAATTTTTAAAATAAGAACATTCATTGTAGCCAAATTGATTCAACCCATAAATCATCACTTTACTAAGAATTCAAGCTCTGTATTCCCATGATTGCATTGTTTCATTTGTTAGGTTAATTTTCTAACATAAGATTTAGCAATTTTTATACTTCTATAAGACATTCAAATTCAAATTTGGGAGAAACTACAAATTTGGGAGACAATAACAGATTCTAAGCTTTAAGTAGTATCAGCTATTCCATTAAAAAGTTCCTTTCTATAAGTTATGAGCCTTAAAATATTAATTAATCTTATTAGAAAATAAAAATTAATCTTATTAGAAAACTCTACTGACAATTGAATTAAGCAATCCCATCTCCTCAAATGATGTTACGAGGGAACATACCCTTGGTAGGACACAGTCAGTCCAGCCACACCAGGATTTTCACATCCCAAGGCAAACAGAGAGAGGAAGAGGAGGTAGCCAAAGACAGATGATCCCAAGTAGAGTTTTGTAGCTTCAAATACACCCAGCCTGAATTTTTTCATAACTATTCCCCCAGAGAATATTCCAAGGGCCACTGCAGGAATGTTGATGAGCCCTGAGGAATAAGAAAAACAAGAGATCTCTGAGCATCACTCATGTGTTCTTAGTGATTGCAAAAACCCACCAATGGTTCTGATGTATTAAACTGTGCTTATGAAAATATTGTTACTATTATTGGTAAACATATACCAAGAGTTTGTGATGAGAATAAAGGTCATGGGTTAACAACAGCATAAATGTAGTATCAGAGCCTCATATTCAACTCCATTAATACTGAATGAATTGATGAAACAATATCTTTTCTGGTAGATGCCCAGAACTAGCATTCTCAATCAGGTGGCAGTTGGGGAGACATTAACGTTCCTTAACACTATCCATAGCATAATAGGCACAGAGAATGAAGGGAAGTTTGTTGTTGTTTATGTTTTGCTTTCTATTTTCTGGCTCAAACAAAATCTTGTTGATTCAGCCTCTCAGTCTCTTGTTTTGAAGCTCTCCTTACAGCTAAAGTGGCACGTGTAATCATTTGTGCATGTGCCAGGTACTCACACTATCTATCACATTTGGTCTTCACTGCAATCTTAAGAGTATGCATATTATTATCCTCTAGAGAGAAATTTCTTCATGATTATGATTAACAATGATTAAGACTCAATTGAAGTGTAGGAAGGCTAAAGTCAAGTCCTCTTTCCTCCCTCACTTGGCTGTCTTAGTCACATCTTCTTAAAGGTATTAGGAAATGGAATCTTAGACACAGAGTTATGCAACCTCACTAGTCGTCAAGCAAATGTGATTTAAAACCAGCAGAGGGAGTGGTCCCACCAGGTGATGGAGAGTATGTACTCAGAGACCTTGGTACCTGGGTTTAGGTATCTTCAGTTCAGCCACTTAGCAGCTATACAACTGCAGGCAATTTTCTAAATGTCTCTAAACCTGCCCACTGTCAACTATCCATTAAAGCCTGAGTATTCCTTACCTAAATACTTGGGACTAATGTACTTTTGAATTTTTGACAATTTTAGAGTATACACGCATAATGAGATATCCTGGAGATGAGATCCATATCTCAACAGAAAATTTAATTTTATCTATCATATACATAGCACTATAACACAGTCTGAAGGTAATTTTATACAATATCTTTAGTGTGCTTTTATTCTGAATGCACTCAATCACTCAAGGTCAGGAGTCAACATTCCCACTTGTGGTACCATGTTGGCATTTTTTATTTCTGGTTTGGGATGTTGAAACTGAAATGGTGTTGAGTTGATGAAATGATGTAATTCATGAATGTCTCTTAGCAAAATATCTAACACAGAAGTATTCATTTCTACCAGATTGGCAAAGACGAAATGATACATGGGAGTGGGGAGTACACCCTTCGTATTTAAGAAAGACCAGGCCTAAGACACAAGTGTGTGATCCCAACTATGCAGGAGATGGATACAGGGAGGTTATGAGGCCTGAGTCTATAGATTAACTGAGAAAAACAAGCTCCAGATAAGTCTGAGGGAGGATCTGTTGTGGTCTTGGCCACACAGATAGTGCAAAGGTCATCAGGCTGTTAACCACTTCTGCTCCTAACCTTCGGGGCAGATAACAGGTTATATATCTACCTTCAAAGGGACAACCCTGTGTGTTTAAGTTTCCTGGTTCCCCTAGTACTTATCTGTGAGGACAAGAACCTCTGTGCCTCCCATAAAAAAATTGGAAAAAATTGTTTAAAAATATCCCAGGGATCTTCCACAGGTTTCAGAACTTCTGCAAGGGCAGTGCCTCTACCCACTGATCCATCTCTCCAGCCCTAATTTTCTATTATGAACATCTCTTTCTAAATAATGTTCTTAATTTTTCTTTATGAAAAACAGGTTTCAATTTGAACTTTAAGAAACTGATTCATGACTCCAGTATGGGAGAGATCAAGTGCCCAGATGCAGTGTTGTATGATACTGAATAATGAGGAACAGGCACATCTTCAAAGACATGGGCCTTCATGCAAATTCCTGGGAAAAGGTTTTGGGTTTGTTTGTTCATTTTTTTCTCTTTATTCTGATTGAACCTTGTCTTTCATAGTATATAAAAACTTTATTAGAAATGGATTTATCTAATAAGTGAAAACTGAAACAATTAAATATTAATATTATAAGTATTAGGAAAACATTTCAGTGATTTGGGGGCTTAATGTACAGTTTTAAAAACAGAATCAAAATAACACAAGAAAGAAAATGACTAAAAATTGGGCTTAATTAAAATGATGATCATGACCATTATCAAAATTAAAAGGTCTTACTTATCAAGTCAGGTAGGAAGGAACGAGGAGTAGAGGGAGGGGAAAATATATTCAGATTATATTGTCTGAGAAAAAAAAAATCTATGTTTAATAAAACAGAAAAATTAAAAAAGCAAGATAAAGTGTATGAGAAATACTTGCAACACACATATTTAATGAAGAATTTGTATCAAGAAAAATATACAGTAGCCAGAACTTACCAAGTGAAAGACTGCCAATCAAAATAAATAAATAACATGGGCAAGTGACTCAAACAAGTTAGTAGAAGGGAATATTGAAGTGACTAATGAGCCTATGCAGACATACTCAACATAAATGGTCATAGGGTAAATGATATCAAAATGAAAAAGGCTTACAACATCAAGGTCTGGTAAAAATGCGGGGTGATTAACATGCACTCACATATTCAGTGCATGTTTAAATGTGCTCAGCCATGATGTTTCTTAGCAATATCTACTCTATCACAGATTGCCTATGATCTAGTATTTGCACACCATGTGCTAATCAAAGAAAATGAATATACCCACAGAATGATCATGGCTGTGTGATCTACAGTAGCCAAAAGAAAAAAAACTATCAAAAGGACCATCAGCACTAACGTGACTAAATATAAGTAATTCATGGTACATTGATATCACAAACTAGTCCATGGTAGTGAAAAAGAGCCAAACATGGGTATTCAGAACCGTGAATGAATCTTAACATCAATTGTTCAAATTCTATGAGGCTCAAGAACAGGTAAGACTGGTTTATGAAGATTGAGTCTACAACAATTCTAGCCATTAGGGAAAGTATGTGTTGATAATAATCTTCTTGGGTAATAGGATGCTCTAGATGATGGCTACTTTACACACACACACACACACACACACACACACACACACACACACACACACACACAAGAACACACACACACACACATATACATAATTCATTCAGTTAAGCTATACAAGAAACATCTTCAGACTTAACTGATGAGTATAAATTATATCTTGACATATAAAACTACATATAAGATGAAAAAGACTATCTCAAATTTCCATTGCTTCTTTATTTGTTCTCCTTAAACTCAGGATGCAACACTGATAGATATGGAAGAAGTTCTGAGGGAAATTTCTAAAATATTTCTTATGCTCAACCAGTAAATGATACAAGTGAGCTTTTGAATCACTTAATATTGGAAATGAAAATTTTCAGTAATCTAATCTTGAAACTGCTAGAATGTTGGAGAATAGACCAAACAAGCCAGTCACTTTAACATCTAAGTGCCCATTATTTAGAATTTGTTATAGGAAAATTACATCTTCCAAGATATACTCAGATCTTTTCTTCTCTTTTCAGGGGTAGATATATGGAGTGATTTTTAAAATTTTCTGTGGCAAGGGATTGGAGAGATGGGTCAGAAGCCCAAATCTGGTTCCCAGAATGCACATTGGTTGGTTCACAATCACCTGTAGCTTCAGCTTCAGGAGATTTGACAGCCTCTTCTGATCTACACAGACACATGCACTCATGTGCACAAATGAACCCACCCACCCATACTCACACACCCCCATAACACATTCATACCATACAAAATATTAATAATAAAATAAATCCTTTAACAATTTCTATGAAGAAAGAAATTATTTTAGAGTCTCATATCTTAAAGGAGTATGTCCCAAGAAACAGAATAAATGTAATGCCTCAAAATGGTGATTTTTTTTAAATGAAATATTCTTGGAGAAAAGAAGCCAATCATGTTTTAAGTCTCTAATTTTATACAGGATGATAGCCCTGTGTTTAAATATTATTTTCTCTCTTTTAATCCCTTGTTCTTGTTTTGGTCCTTCAGTGGTGTTCTTGTTCTTGGTTACATTAATATGCTATATATACAATCCCTTTAAACAACATATTCTCCAGATGTCAAAAATATCCCTTGGGCCTGAGTCATACATCAGTTTTGTTATAGAAGGCACAGTTATACTGTCTAAATGCCCACTGCATGCAATCCCAGACACCATGCATGCAATATTGCCAATAATGTAAGGCGTCAACAATGCCTAAAACACAGGTACCCAATATTAGCAAAAATCTAAAAAAAAATATCTATGCTAGACTCACTTCTTTGTACTTCTTAAAGAACTGTGGGGAATTCTTTCAAAGCCAACCAGTCACAGTCATAAATAATTCTTGTTGTGAAATTATAATACATACCTACTGTGTGTATGCTAGAGTTTTAAAAGTTTTCTACTTTACTTCATCTAAAATACCCTAATTAGTTGAGGTTAAAAACTAGAGCAATCTAATATTACTAAGAATGTGCAAGGTTCATCAAAGATAGTTTCTATGGGAACACATGACAGACAGGCGGGCATACCAATGACAAAGTTGGCTTTGGAGGATGACTGCCCATACTGCTGCTCAATGTACTTTGGTTTGTATGTCACCATGCCAAATAGAGAATTGAACTGAACAGTGCTTGCACACAGGTATAAGATGTATACTGGATTTCTAAGAAGAGTCTTCAAAGATGGAAGAAAATCTGTAAGACAAAAACAATATGGAGTCCTTAAAGACAGGGTCTCAGGTAGTAGACATTGCAATCTTCAGGACTGCAGTCTGCCTGGGTTTGAATCTAGGCTTATACACCCCTACAGGAACACTATGTAGGACCAATAAGGGAGACAGGGACAGACCCCACCAGGTGATGTGTCAGTAACAAGGGCAGAGCATTCCTCCTCATCTTCTATCTAGAAGCTCTAGGCTGGACATCAGGAACTTCCATGTGAGTCTCTTTCTCCCAACATAGTTCATAGCTGTCTCCTTTAGTGAGTGTACCTTGGTGTTAAAGGGACCTTTCTCCTACTCTCTTCCTCCCATGATTCAGGCAATTAACTTCAACAAGTTGAAGAATGTCTTTAAACATAAATACAGGATTGCTTGAAAAGAAAGAGATGGGGACAATTTCTTGGTCATCAACTTCTCTGAGGAGAACTCCTGAGAACATGCCTGGCCTTTACCTGCCTTGCACTTACACCCTTGCTGAGACACACATTTCTATATATTGTTCAAACAGGTGGATCTTACATGTAAAAGGCTCTCAGACATGGAGTTATAGCCTCTTCTTTTCTGTCTACTCAGACTTCTGCTGATCAGCTACTATGGAGAAGAACAATGGTGTGTGAGAGGGTGAAGCCACCCAAAAGGAAAATATGCAGGACTTTTGCTCAACCATCTGCATAACTTTTTCAATAAGAACAACTTTGTGACCATAGGTAATGCGATCCACAAAGCCTGCTCATGCACCAGGCATAGATCCTGATCACACTGCCTGATAAAGCAGGGAGGGGCTTGGTCCTGCCTCAACTGAATGTACCAGGCTTAGCTATCCCCGCAATGGGAGAACTTACCCTGTTGGAGGAGTGGATGAGAGGTGGGGGAGGGGAAAAGGAGGGGGGCAGGAGGAAGAAGGAGGGATGAGAGGGGGATCTGTGGTTGGTATGTCAAATGAATAAAAAAAATTTTAAAGCTTCTGGAATAAATGAAAAAATCAGAAAAAAAAGGATGACTTCCTCTCTCCATTTCTGCTTCCTATATGGTTTTTTTTTTTTTAACATTTCTTTCAGACAGGGGAGCCAAGTACTATTATTCATACACTTCCTCCAGTCCCACTAGGAAGATGGACAGTAGTCCATGATCAAAGAGAATCTGACTTACTTCTTGCCATTTCCATGAATTTCATTTCTTCTCCAGGGGCCATTTGGTAGTTAATAGGGTCATTTATGATGAACTTGGACTTCTCAGATGAGGACCCAGAGTCCTCTCTACTTTGGGATCTTGGTAGAGTCTTGGGTAAGCACCAGAAAGGCACGGCAGCGAGGAGACTTAGGAGCCCTGCTATTAGGTAACCAAGCCACCAGGCCCCAACCCACTGAGGATCCTTCGGGGTGATGGTTATGTGGTCTGAAAGAAAGAGGTTTGTTAAGTAGCAACTTTTTCAAGGTTAGCGTATTGAAATGAGTTACTGCAGAAAACAAGTTCTAGCAACAATTCTACCACATCATAAAAAACTACCCCACAGGGTCAGGGAGATGGCTCAGAGAATGAGGACCAAAATTCAGATTCTCCAGAACACACACACACACACACACACACACACACACACACACACACACACACGCCAGATCTCCAGGAAAGGTGTTCCTGGAGGACCTTAGTTTCTCTGTTTGAATTGTGGGTTAAAGAGTCAGAGACTAAAGGCTGTGAGAGGCTTTGGCATTATAGTGTGCTCTGGGGCTGGGGCTGGAGCACAAGGTGAGTACAGCAGGTGGAACACCCTATAGCCAGCTGCTCCTTCAGAAGCACTTGCATCTGATTTATTTATTGAATGTCTAAGATTGTCCTCAAAGAGTAATGGCTGCCAGTCCCCCAGGTAATTGCCTAGTTGGAGAAACAGCAGGGGAGAGAGGCTAAGACTAGGAGAGAGGGAAGTGTGGCCACTAGAGACTTTCACTCCTATGTGTTTTCTTTATTGGTCGATATCACTATAACAAATGTTGACACATATGAGACCAGCAAGAGCCAGCAGGAACTGCAGTTTTGAGCCTGAACTGTGCTAGGTGTATTTGAACTGGCAGCTGCAGAAGACAACCTGCCTTCATAACAGACCACAGGTCACCATGTTCTAATCACTACCTGTTTATCCTTCTGTACCCATCAACACCCGCATCTTCAGCATCAATGTGTATTCCATGGACTATTTTTGTTTTAGGAACCAAGCCACCAGGCCCCGACCCACTGGGGATCCTTCAGGGTGATGTACTGGCCATTGTACTAAAAGTAAAATTTTCGGACTGGAGAGATGGCTCAGTGGTTAATAGCACTTGCTGATTTTGTAGAGGATTGGGTTGTATTACCAGCACCCATATGGTAGCTCATAACTGTCTGTAACTCTGATTTCAGGGGATCTGACAGCTTCTTCTGTCCTCCTCCTCCAGTAGTGAGCACTCATTTAGTGTACATACATATGTGCATGCAAATATTTATACACATACATTTTTTTTAACTTAAAAAACAAAAACAAAATTTGGTATTTTTTTCTTAGTCAGTCCCATTAAAATTATAGTAATTAAAATTAATGAATAAATGAAAATAAATTCAGACTGGCAAGATGACTTAGTGTGTACCAAGCCAGGGCATCTGAGTTCCATCCCAGGACCCACCTGGTAAAAGGTGACAACCAATTTGCACAAGTTGTTCACTGATCTTCACAAGTACATCATGGAATATGCACACACAGAGAAGTGTAATTTAATTAATTAATTAATTAGTTAATTAATTAATTAATAAACCTACTTACCTAGATTCACAAAGCCAATATCAACATACAGTTTGGCGCATAATGAACCCAAGAGGAAGCCAAAAATGGGCCCTATAATTGCAACGGTTTGCACACACCCTGCAGGAAAAAGCAAACCAAACCAAAAGAAAACATATTAAGAGGGAAAGAGGATAAGAGAAAAAATAAGAATACCTACCATTTGGCTCTGCCTTGATAAATTAATAAAATGCTAAGCAGGAAATATAAATGAGATGCCATTGGCAGCTGCAAATTAAATACCTCAGCACCTCATCTGTGGGTGTATCACTGGCTACTGTTTCAATGCACTGGGAAATAAGTCCTTCTCTATTTGGGGAGAAAACCATTACTTCTAACACAAGACCCTGACAAATTTAAATTCCAAACGTGAAGCAAACTTTAGTTCTGACATTTGTGGTTGTCTACAGTTTAGGAATCCTAGTCCTTGAGAGGTGGAGGAAGGAGCTAGTGGTCACTTGAGATAAAAACAAACAAAGAAAACAGAACTGCACTAATTTGGTAATCTTTCAAAAAATTGTTATGGTTAGTTAAGCATAAGTTCTGTTTTGACATTAAAATGGATTTTTTTCCAAACTCTGTGATAAAGAGCACTTGCTCATTCATACGGAGCTTGTGAGGAAGCACTGGGGAGAGAGTGTTGTCTCAGGAAGCAGCGAGCAGAGGAGGCAGATTTTGGAGCAAGTTAAGTTTTTCTAGAGAGCTCACCACAGGTCAGGGGTAGCCTGACAGATGATGGGAGCAGGTTACAGAGGACAGTGTCACTAGTAAGCAGGAAGATTGTCCTGCCCAGGTAAGTGTCTCCCACGTGCCATTCCCTCAACGCACACACGCATATTCCTGGGAGATTACATGAACTGGAGGCATGGAGAGCTATTCATTGGCCTCTTTCAGAATAGAAGCAAGTGTAAGACCCTGTGTAGCCTCTGAGCAGCTCCAGAGGAAGGTAAATCCCAGCCAGACCCTGGGAGAGTTGCTTAGTGCACCCCCATACAGTCTTTCTTTCACTCCTGAGTTATGCTCCAGTTTTCCATCAGAGCAAAAATCTATTCTTAATTTAAGTCTGTATTGGTATATGCAGGATATCAGGAATTTCTGTGGTATGTGCCCAGAAACACAGTGATTCTTGGTGTAGCCCCTCCTTCAATCTTGTCCTTTGTCTCCAAAGGCTACACATTCAAAAGATCAGAATTCTAAGAAATCAAAACTGATGTATGAAACACAGAAGACACAATAGTCATCCCTGCAGTTCTAATTTGTAGCTGAATTCCAGGGTGTAAGACACCCATTAAATAGTGCTTAGATGTATCTGACCTTAAGAGTTCACTTCTGCTATACAATTTTGTGTGGAAGATTTTCCAATGCATGTGCCCTTCTTTTGTAGTATACACTGGGGACTGCTGCTGACCTAAAGATGGGATAGCCTTGAGCCTTGCTTATGTTCTCTTTATACTTCTTTTCAGTCATTTATACCTGCTCTCAAGGTTCCAGAATTCCTTCCTATCTCAAATAGGAAAAAATAAAATAAAATAAAATATCCTTCAGTTAACCAGAGCTTTTATAATGCAAGGCAGTTTCTAGAACTGCAGAAACAACAGACACACATGAACACACACACACACACACACACACACACACACACACACACACACACAGAGAGAGAGAAAAAGAGAGAGAGAGGCATACACACATAGACACACACACACACACACACACACACACACACACACACACACAACAAACCAATAACAACAATAACAGAACATCAAAAACAGTCTCTGAACTCTGAAGTCCCCAAGATGCCTTCACAAGGTCCCATGCCATTGCAGTTGAGGTCACAGCTATCTTCTTCTAGTCTGGTGTTCTTTTCCTTGTGCAACAGACACTGATTAATGAAGTGCCTTCACTGTTCAAATCCTTTGTGTATTTCAGACACGTGATAGCTGAGTGAAAGAAGGCATGGAGACTGAGCGCTAAAACCTTCCATGCTAAATTTGGAATAGATGGAAAGGGGGCACAGGCACCCCACTTCTCATGCTGGATGAGGTGGGCATTACCAATGTAGAACGCAGCATTATCCTCACTGGCAAAGTCATCCAGATAGGCGATGCCGAGGGGTTGGATGGGAGTCTCCCCTAATCCTCGCAGGAGATTTCCCAGGAAGACATAAATCCACATGGAGGAGCTGGCATCCCCTTCACATTCTAGAAAGAAAGGCAAAGAAGAGGACTGGAGCTAGCTCACTGTTGGTGTTAAATATTATTTCTACATTTCTATACTTGGTTTTAAACTAATTAGAAAACAGAATCAAAATCTACCACAGTGCTAATCTGATAAGATTTCGGCTGAGATACTGCACAGAGATACCTGTCAGCATGTTATCTGAGGCAAAACAGGTCATGAACAAAAGCTTATCCACATCTACATTTAATAAAAATTGTGTATTCTTCAATCACAAGTATTTTTTCATTGTTGTCCAAGTTCTACCTGAAACTCAAATGTTTATGTGGCTGATAAGTGCAACACTGGGCTGGATTGCCTACAGTTATATCTGGTAGTAATCAACTATTTTTAGAATTCTGGAAACAAGCCATATAAAAGTTATACATCTTATATTCTTCAGCAGTCCACATCTTCCAACAAAAGTAAAAGGTTTTTTGACAATATTTTTAGAGCTGAATCTAAAGCTGACTATTTAAGGATACATTAATAAATGTCATGCCATAATCTGACCATATGAGGCAGGGCAGTTATGTCAGTCACAAAAATGAAAGACCACTTTACAGAGTTCCGGCACTCTAATAAAACCAAGGATGTTAACTGCCTCCAGTAATTACCACATCTAAACGCCCCCTCCCAGGCACACGCTGGGCTAAGTAGTTCTCGGGAATTTATAACTGGAGTCTTCGCATCAACACTGTGAGGTGGAAGCTATTTTTAACTAGGTGTGAAGGGGATGAAGAAGGAATTAAATGTAACCATGGGAAAAATTTACATTTCTTATCTGACCTTTTAGATTGATGTTTCTATTTGTGAAATTCATTTTATTTTCATTTCAAGACCCATCTCACTCGGAACCACTGGTAGATGTTCCTAGTCACCAACAAACCATTTGTGGTCTTTTCCACAATATTGAATCACTGGAGTGTTTTACTGGGATCATATCATACAGCTTTATACTCTAGGAGCTGTGTGTGTGTGTGTGTGTGTGTGTGTGTGTGTGTGTGTGTGTGTGTGTGTGAGTGCTTTGCAGGGCAGGCATGTGAATAGCATCCCTGTGTGCCAGCAAACGCCAGAGCATATTGGTACCTTTCCCCATTATTCTTGCTCTGTCGCCTCAGGACAGAATCTCTCACTGGCTAGTGAATTTTAGGAACCCACCTACCTGTGTCCCCAGTGGTGGGTCTCTAGGCACGTGCAGACATGCCTAGCATTATGAGTGGGTGCTGGGGATTTGAACTTAGGTCCCCATGTTTGCAAAGCAACACCCTTTCCCACTGAGCCATCTCCTCAGCACTGTAGCTATAGTTTTCCTGCCTGGCCCATAGTCAGGATAAATCTCTGCCACCCGCCAGTCCTACAACCGCTCAAACCCGATCAAGTAAACACAGAGACTTATATTGATTACAAACTGTATGGCCGTGGCAGGCTTCTTGCTAACTGTTCTTACAGCTTAAATTAATCCATTTCTATTTTTTTTTTTTTGTTTTGTTTTGTTTTTCGAGACAGGGTTTCTCTGTGTAGCTTTGCGCCTTTCCTGGGACTCACTTGGTAGCCCAGGCTGGCCTCGAACTCACAGAGATCCGCCTGGCTCTGCCTCCCGAGTGCTGGGATTAAAGGCGTGCGCCACCACCGCCCGGCTAATCCATTTCTATTAATCTATACCTTGCCACGTGGCTTGTGGCTTACCGGTACTTTACATTTTCCTTGTCCTGATGGCGGCTGGCAGTGTCTCTCTGACTCAGCCTTCCACTTCCCAGCTCTATTCTTCTCCTTGTCCCGCCTATACTTCCTGCCTGGCCACGGACCAATCAGTGATTTATTTACTGACCAATCAGCAACACATTTGACATACAGACCATCCCACATCACCTCCCCTTTTCTTTTCTTAAAAAGGAAAGTTTTAACCTTTACACATCTCCAAAGTCAGCTTGGTGTATTTGGGAATTTGGGCGTAGATTTTCTTACTACTTCCTGCTGGAGGGGGGCGCTGTATCTTATGGGGACACAAAGAATATTTTAGGATTATGGAGTAGTCCATGAGGGTGTATCGTCTGAGCCAGTTGCCTTGAAACGGTTCTGGATGTTGGATCATCTGGGCCATGGTGTCATCAGAGACCTTTCAGGGGGTCTTGGCTGGTCAAACCTGATGTATCTTAATCTGGAACAAATCCATAGCCTCTGGCTTTCTGTGGAAACAAAAGCAGAATCTCCTTTCCAAAGCAACGTATCCTTATATCCAAATTTTGAAGTCAAAGTACCTTTAAAATATGTATATTGGTTTAACTCAGCTTCCTTTATAATCAAATATCTCTCTGTAGTTAAGAATCCCAAAGACAACACAATCCAGATTCTCTATGTAATATTCATCTTCACGTGGCTTATTTTTTATATTAATTTTACTGTCTCTTTAAAGACTTTATTTTTTAAAACTATGTATTTGTTTCTATACTGTATATATCACCTTTTTTGTCTCTTTCAAGCCTACGTATATTTTACACACATTTTAAACTATTACATCTGAATCTGTCTTATTGTGAATCTATTGCTTTAAGCTGCAGCAGCTGTGGCTGCTGGCTCCACCCACCTCAGCTTCCCAACATGGCGGCGGTACTGTAGTTTTCCGCCAGCTCTGGGAGCTATCGTGGGTCTATGCTTTTATCCAAGCAGCGTGTAGTCCAGAAACCTCTTTTTTTGTTTTGTACTAGCAAAGGCTAAATTCACCAAGCAGCTTAATGTGCCACTTGCAGAGGCCTCATTCCTGCCATATGGCGGCAGGTCGAGTGTGCACGCCAGGAACCCGCCAGTAGCTCAAACCGGCAGCTGCCACTCATTTGAGAGAGACAATTAGGAACTGTTTTTAGCTCCGTTTTAGAATCTTTTTTCTCAGGTTTTAGGTGGAAACTCTTGCCCCACGTTGGGCGCCATTTGTAGCTAGAGTTTTCCTGCCTGGCCCATAGTCAGGATAAATCTCTGCCACCCGCCAGTCCTACAACCGCTCAAACCCGATCAAGTAAACACAGAGACTTATATTGATTACAAACTGTATGGCCGTGGCAGGCTTCTTGCTAACTGTTCTTACAGCTTAAATTAATCCATTTCTATTAATCTATACCTTGCCACGTGGCTTGTGGCTTACCGGTACTTTACATTTTCCTTGTCCTGATGGCGGCTGGCAGTGTCTCTCTGACTCAGCCTTCCACTTCCCAGCTCTATTCTTCTCCTTGTCCTGCCTATACTTCCTGCCTGGCCACGGACCAATCAGTGATTTATTTACTGACCAATCAGCAACACATTTGACATACAGACCATCCCACAGCACAGCACAACTGTAGAAATTTTTTTACACTTTACTATTTCAAGTAATAAGGCTTTTCAGAGAAAAAAATTAATAAGCTAAAGCATATAAAAAGCTAAAAACCATTTATTTACACAAGTCAATTTTTAAAAACCATCTTACCATCATTTATTTTGTTTTGTGATTTCCCCATGACTGAGCTTGGTGACAGGTTGCTGGACTCTAGGTGGCATGGAGAGATGTTAGGAGTCAGGTTGGAGGAGGGAGAATACTTCTCATATTTCTCATAGCTGTACCTGCATACAAGGAAAATTTTTACACTGACAGGCTAACATCATGCTGAAACAGAGGCTTGCTTTACCACTCATGAGGGGGTCAGGCTGGGTTTGCAGTTTCCTTCAAATTGGACTCATCAAACCAAACCAGCACTGAGCAGCAATTTGTCTCATGGCTGGCCAGAAGATGCTGCCTGCCTTTGTGCCATTCTTGGGCCCTCCATGAACCAGTGACAAAAAAGAAAAGCAAGAATCATTTTCAGACTCATTTTAGCAGAAGATAGCGACTAGCCATCATCTATTCCCTTAGAACAAGAGGTATCTATGTACATTTGCTGAAGACCAAGGCTGTCTCCAAGTCAGAGAAAAAATCAGTATCATATCAACTCGAGGCATTAGCAGAACACTTACAGGCCAGTTCTAGAGAATGTGTAAAATGCAGCATGGCTCTAGAGCTGTTTGCCCAGAAGGAATTCTGCATTTTCCCTCCAGGTAATGACTCTGACTCCAAATTAATCCAGCCTTACTCCTCCACCCCTCACCACTTCCTGAGTTTCTTTTTAAGTTGATACATACCCTTGCTAAGTTGGCATGAGCTGGCCGTGAAATCACTATGGTCTACACAGACTGGCCCTGAACTTATGTGATCCTCCTGCTTCAGCCTCGGGACTAGTGGGTATTACAGGCCTGTGTTATCAGCCCCAAATAATGGCAGAAAACATTTTGATTTTCTATTTTTCCGTACTGATTCCACTTCCCTTGTGTACAGGACAGCGCTTTCATACGGATAAGCCCCAGCCTCAGCCATGAATGCTCTCTCTTCCTAAAGTAGTCCTTACTGAACATGTAGAATTCTGTGCACACTTCCTGTGTGATCCCAAGCTTGCTCATTAGTATCAGTTTTCAAAGCAGTGGTCACAGTCACTTTAAACACCCCATGTCTGGGTCCATCAATAAAGGACCTGCTGTGCAGGCATGAGGTCTGAGTTCAGATCCCTAGCACCCTGTTAAATGACGGTGCAACAGCAGGCATATGCAAGCCCAGTACTGAGGAGGCAGAGCACGTCACCAGAGCTCACGGGTTAGCCAAGCTGTGACAGTCCCCTTGTCTTTTCACAGTTCTTCCCTTAAGTGTCTTCACTAGGCTGTTGTTCTCTGTCGTGTGTGTGTGTGTGTGTGTGTGTGTGTGTGTGTGTGTGTGTGTGTGTCTGAGAGTATGTGAATGTGTGTATGCTAGTATGCACACCCATGCTCTCAGGGAGGCCAGAAGAAGGTGCTGGGTGCCTCTGAGCTGGAATTACAGGTGTTTGTGCAACATGCAGCTTGCACAGCGAGTGCTCTTAAAGGCTTGGCCATCTTTTCCAGCCCCATTCTCTACAGCTAATATCCCTATTTGACATAGCACAGCACTCTGTATTTGTGTATTGTTTTCTCTTCCTCCTAAGATCCATGAGCTCAGGGACTTCTTTTCATTCCCTTATTCACAGTGTCTAAGATAATGATCAGCATGGCTCTATACTATATCAATACTAGATAGGTGAATTAGTGGAGGTTAGAGAAAGAATGCTAAACTCAGCCAGCCTGAGTGGCCCTTCATAATTAGCATCTATGATTGATAAGTTTTATGTAAAACCAAGGTTATTTATTTGGAAAATACAGAATAAAAAGTTTGTTTATATAAAACAATGCATATTTACAAAAAGTCCATAATCAATGAACAGAGTTGTGAAAAGCTGTAAAGAATATCCGGTGATGGGGCTGAAGACGTGGCTCACGGTGAAGAGTACTAGCTGCTCTTGCAGAGGACCTGGGTTCAATTTCCAGCACCCATGTGGCAGTTCACAACCAACTGCAAGTCCAGTTCAAAGGCATCCAATGTCCTCTTCTGGCCTCCATGGCACTGCATGAATATCTTGCACAAAGATACAGGCAGGCAGAACATCCGCATATACATATTTAAACAAATGCCTATGATCCCAGAACTCTGGAGGCTGAGGCAAGAAGGTTGTGAGTCTAATGTCATCCTGGGCTGTCTAGTAAATTAAGCATCTGTCTAGCCAGAGCCACCTAGGAAGACATCTACCTTATGAAAATAAGACAAAATTATCATTAAAAAAAAAAAGGAGGAGGAGATCTGCTATTGCAGGAAAAGGTTAGAAAAAGATGGATGCTTTAGACTTACTTCTCCATGAAGAACTGGGGCGCTGCAATGAGCATTGTTCCCATGCCCATGACTAGGCATCCTGCTCCTATTATTTTTGGTCTGTGAAGTTTGGCACCAAAGTAACTAACAAATGTGATGACCAGGAGATTCCCTTTGGGGGCAAGAAGAAGCAGTCATGGTCTAGGAAACAGTCAACAGCAGAAGCAAACAAATGACGCACACAAATTTATCGAAGCTTCACTCTAAGGAGACAACATACCCAGCCTTCCTATCATGCTGCTTTGTCCTGTGAGCTAAAATGGCTGCAGAAATTACCTTCAGATTCATGACTCATTCATTCACCTGATCTTTTTTGTCAAAATATTCCACTCACCATCCCCCTACCGCTTTGTTTGACCCAACCTAGTCATTTGTTCTTTTAAAAGCATTATATCAGTAAATTAAATTACAGAGGGCTGCAGGGGTGGCTCCCTGGTGAAGAGAGTGCACGGCTCTTACAGAGGACCAAGTTTGGTTCTCAACACCCACACTGGGTGGCTCACGGCTGCCTGTAACTCCAGCTGCAGGGGATTAGAAGCCCTTATCAGAACTCCAAGGGCACCTGCATTCAAATACACACACCTAGACACACACACACACACACACACACACACACACACACACACACACACACCTAAAAATTAAAAATAAATCTAAATTATACAAGGCTTCCTCTAGTTGATATTTTAAATTTTTCTTAGTGATTTTGCAGCAAATTTTATTAATTTTCTCCATTCACTTATGCTTTGGATTAAAGTTTCTATTAGTTTTCTAATTGCTTTTGAAACATATTTTTTGTATTATCTCTAAAGCTGATATTCCCTGAAGAAAGGTATTAAAAAAACACTATACTTCACTTTAACTGAAATAAAATATTAAACTCACATTTATAAAATGATACTTTATTTCACAAGACAGGCATTTTAAAAGGTGAATAAATAATGTTGGTTTTAAAGTAAGAATTACATAATTCTAAAACAGCTCTAATGAAATGTCATGTTATTTTTGTATGTATGCATTTATGTGTACACATTCTTGTGTGTGTGTGTGTGTGTGTGTGTGTGTGTGTGTGTGTGTGTGTGTGTGTGTTTGGTGTGCATATGGAGATTAGATGTTAACCTTGGGTGTCAGCCCTCAGATGCTGTCTGCCTTGTTTCATAAGATGAAGCCTCCTCTCATAGGCCTGTGGCTTTCTGATTTAGGCTACGCTGTGATCCAGCAACTTGTAACCTGTCTCTACCCATTCATTCTGCAATAACAAGAAAGGGTTCAATACCATGACTGGATTTTTGTTGTTGTTTAATGTGGATGCAGACATCAAACTCAGGTCTTCATGTTTACATGACACTTTACTGAATGAGCTATCTCCTGAGCTCTATGATTCAACATGTTTTATGGGAATATTTCTCAGGTTCTGTTATATAAAAGAATTCCTAAGAGATGATACAAAAGGAGATACAAAGCTGTTAAAAATGTAAACATCTTGTCATATCCAATTTCTGCTGCTATGGACCAGGGTCCAGTCAAGGAACCTGTACTTGCAAGTTAAGCTCAACTACAGTGATGTGGATCACACCAGCAATACACCATGAGAAACCTGGGTTAGAGGTGTACATTTTAAGGACCTTTCACATTTTAGCTATAATCATTTGGGAAGTCTCATTTGCAGGAACTCCTGTCTAGATAAAGAAGCAAACCCTTCCCCATCGGCTGGCTGTGGGGGCCAATGGGTGGCCTGATTTTTTGCTGTCCTTGGTGTTTCCATGTTACAGCAGGAGCATATTTCCCATCTGCAAGCAATCATCTGGTTTACTACTGTTCGGACATACTGCCAGAGTTAGTCAATTGGAAAATGAGTGGTAAATTTTACAGCCCAAAGGATAATAATACGGTCATGGGAAAAGTAGCTTGGAAATGAGGTCTATGTGCTTGACTCTTAGAAGAATTCAGCTCTTTAAAATTTGCTGTAAAAAAAAAAAAAAGCATGAGAATACCCATTTGACACTTAAGTAGTGTAAGACACTATACTAGTTATGTCTTTCTGTTTGTGAAGCTGACTAACATTTTATAACAATCCTTTTATAGCTCCATGTACCCTCTACCAAACTCTCACAATAAGGGACTGGGGTTCAAAGGTGTTTCTTTGTCACATTAATGAATAATGCCATTTCACTACCTGTTCCATCTCCAGGGGTTTAAGTTTCCTGTATGTGCTGTAATAGCAACCTTTCTAAGTTCCCAGGAGAGATACATGAGAAATATATGATAATTTAAAGTCTAAAATAAAAATGAATGGGAACATCTGGGAAGAGGGTCAGTGAATAACATGCTGGCTGTGTTCAGATCCCCAACACCAACATAAAAGTTGGCATGAAGCTGGCACCAGTAATCTGGTACTGGGCTCAGAGAAGGTGTGAAGATTGGCAAATCCCAAAGGCTTTCTGGCCAGCCAGCCCAGCTACAATGCTGAGCACCAGGTTCAGTGAGGGACTCTGTCTCAAAAGATGAAGTGAACTAGTATTAAAGGAAGATGTTGGACGTCTACCTCTGGCTTCCACTTATGCATGCACAGGCAGAGTATCTGTGTACACATATGTATGTACATGTTTGCATAGATATCACATACATATGTGCATACACACACACACACACACGCACACACACACACACTGAATTGGATATAAAAATTCTTCCATACTTCACGTGGCTAATTGATAAATAGATAAGAGGTCCAGGAAGTTTAATAAATGCTTTACCAAATTTACCCCTCGATTTTTTTCTTTTAAGTATACACATTCAAAATTTCAAATCTTAGAAAAGAAAGCAAACAACTGAAGTTATTTTATGTACTAGAAACAAAGACTGAACAAGGAAAGTGTGAGCATTGGCAACTGGAGCCCAAGTGCAGTTGTGAATTGGAAGGTCAATATCCTATTAGCAAACAGACCAGTGAGTGAAGCCTGCTTAGACTCGTTACAGGAGTGAGAATAGGAGCTAAGAAGAAATCCGTTAATTAAGCCACTATGTAACAGGTAGAAGAATCATTTTGCAGAATAGAAGACATGTAGTGAATCCCTCAATGCAGCCAGTAAATGAAGTGTAAGGAAAAACTGAGCCTAGCATGGTGGTGCACACTTCAATCCCAGCACTCAGGAGGCTGAAGCCAACCGATCTGTGTTATTTGAGGTCAGACTGGTCTACACAGTGAGTTACATGCCAGCCAGGGTCACAGAATGAGATACCATGTCTCAGAAAATCAAAACAGTGAGACAGAAAGAAGAAAGAGAAATGTGCTGAGTAATAAAATTTTAAATTAAGCTTACTAAAAACCATACTAAACAAATTAATACGTTAATTAAAATAAAAACCATGCAACAGGTACATTGTTGAATAGTGATGTTTTAAAAGCACTGTATTAAGTCAGAGACAAGAAAATGGTATTAATTATCACCACTTCAATTCAACATAGCCCCAAGGCCAATTGAGTAAGAAAAGGCAAAAATCATTGGCACACTTAGGAATCAAAAAAATAAATAAATATAATAGTGTCTTCTATTTTAGTCACGTGATTTTCTATTCAGAATACGCTAGAGTTTCTATGGACAATCAATTGAAATTGAAAGAATTTCAACCAAGTTGTTGCATGTATAGATTATTACATATAATTTTTGTTGTATGTATGTGGGGTGTGTGTGTATTCATACATGTGTGGGAACATATGTGTGTGGGAGGAAAGTGCACATGTGTTACATGTGTGTAGAGATTGGCTGCTGGCACTGGGTATCATTTTGGACCCGTTTCCATCTTATATATTGAGGTAATCCAACAGAGAGTTTACACCATTTCTAAGCATCTCTAGCGCTAAGGTGTTTCTACATAGAACCAAGAGCGAGGAAATTAAACTTGCTGATATCTCATTTTCACTGGCACATCACCCTCCATCCGTAATTCTGCCTCTCTCAGCAGGTACTGGCTTCCTATCAATACCCCTTTTTTTTCCATGATGCAGATTATCACCTGACAAAAGGAAGTGACACTGTGATATAAGGAACTGGTATGATTAGGCATTTTAGAACCTTGATATATGCGAGGTCATTGACTAACAGCAATGATGGCCTCTGACAACAAGAAACACAGACTTGCTGTGAGATGTCTCAGCAGGCAAAGGCACTTGTCACCAAGTTGTTGACTTGAGTTCAATCCAGAGAGCCAACACGTCGGAAAGAGAAAAATGACTCTCAAAGTATCCTTTGACCTTCCATGAGCACCATGGAACACATGTATATGCGCATGCAAATACACAGACTAAATTAATAACTAAATAACTAACTAAATATAATCTAAAACAAAAACAAATAGATGCTTGGGTCCCCTCCTTGCAGAATCAGTACCTGTACTTTAACACTTTCCAGACACCACTGTGTCCATTAAGGTGTGATTGGCACTGATTCAGGATCTTTGTGAACAAATTAGCTGGCATTCTCTACCTACAAAGGCTGATAGCCTGCTTAGAACACTAGTGGTTGGAATTTTATAGGTTAAGAGTCAAATTATCTTAGGTCTTCTTAATCTCCTACATAGTAATTTGTCACCTACCTTTGTGTATGACCTGACATCTTCCTGACCACTAGGTAGGTCCTTTGACTGTATGAACAGATCTCTAACCTGTCCAAAAGCTAATATCGTCATCAAGCAGGCTCTTAACCCAATAGCAGAGGTTTCCCCTACTTTGCTATAACCACCTACCTGGTATTTCCACCAGCATGTTTGGAAGCATCTTGATTTATGGCTTTCTTTGTTCTTAAAACAAAACCTTCATGAAACAGTTACCACATTAGGACACTATTTGGAGTAGCCTAAGTCTGTGTCCCTGGGTTATGGTCATGCATCATCTCCAAAATAAACTATCTCTTATCCCTTTTGAAGTGAGGGCTGTATTTATTGCAAAAGCCAGAAAGGAAAAGTTTATATGTTCAATGGTCTCACTTTCTCTGTGACATCCCAAGTCACAAATGAAATCAAAATAGCAAAATTTTAAAAAAAAGATTTAAATATTCCTTTCATTCGAGGTAAAGTTGACACTAAAGCAGTTAAGAGACTTCCCTGCAATTTTATTTGTCCCAAATGGCATCAGTGACCACTGAGGGGATTATTTTATTTACTTTGAAAAGGCACTAAATGCTTCACATTTCTATTAATCCAGGGAGCAGAATAACTGGAACCACACTCTTTCCAACACTTTCAAATCAGTCATTGAAGTCACTCTTTGAAGAGGGAGTCTAAGCAATTGCAAACAGAGGCTACCCAATTGTAAGTTTTTACAGTTTGCTCTGCTCTTGTGTTCCTGCTGATAGAATAGAATCCCCTTTCTCTTTCACAGCTACTGTGTAGAAAAATACATAAGTATCTACTTCTTAAGTATTTGGGCTACATTTTGGCAGAGTCCCTTTGCATGTTCCCACATTCTCAATCCTCCAAGAGGTGCTTCCCACATACGACAACCCCAAACACCAATCAGCACCCCATCTTACTCTAAGAAAAGTCTCCTCTGAGATATGTAACTGATTCATCTAAGGTGTCCAGTCAGAAATACTGGAGGCAGGGAAATTGTTATCAGTTGCCTACTCTGTCAAAGAATGGGTTTCCTTTATGTAGCATAAGGTCCTGGCAGATTTGTCCAAATAGGATTTTACAGGTTGGATCTCAGCAGACAATGAAGGATGACATTGAGCAGGTTTCAGAGAAAGACCAGGGACTTAAAGAGAAAGTCTGGCTTCTGTAATACCTACCGATTTCAAAACTACCATCAATTATTCCCACCAGAGAGGAAGAGATATCAAACCTTCTCTCTATCTGAGTGATGGTGCTCTTCAGATAGCCTTCTGCCAATGCTTTGGCAAAGTAAACAAAAGACAGGGCACCCAAGAACACCTGAAAAACATGAAAGGGCACACGTAGTCTGACTAGCTTGGCATAGCTTGGAAGTTACTAAGGAAACAAAATTCAGAGGAAGAGCAATGCTGAACAGCAACTGTGTTACCATTGACAGTTTGATTCAAGTACTGTTGCAGCTCTAATTAGTCTCAAGACCATTCAGCGTTCCTCCCCTCCCCCCAAAACAACCCCTCTAAATTACATGGCAGTTGAAATGCATGCTGATTTTCATGTAAATTGCATGCAGGATTCCATCTCTCCCCTACCACTCCAATAAAGACATTAAAGAGAGTCTATCTTTGAGACTATCAACGAGTGGCATAGAAAAAGCCCTAGGTGGGTAAGGAAATAAAAGAAGTGGAAATCATAACCCGTACATGCACCATCTTCTCACAAGTCCAAACTTGCCTGTTATACATTTTGAAATCAAAGTCCTGCACTAGCCGGAAACACCTTACACTGAAATGTTCAGTCTAGTTTTTTGTTTGTTTGGTTTTCTTGAGACCAAGTCCTTTAGATATGTACTTGTTAACTTCATTCTTAAATTTTCAGTGGTTCTTCAGCATCTGTTTATATTTTAATAGATGTGTTTTAATTATATGTGTAAAGTAGTATGCATGTGAATTCAGTTTCATATTTATTAAAATACAATATTATTTTGTTTTATTAATAGTATTTGCTGTAAAGAAGGGAGACTTGCATCATGCAGACACCTGTCCCTTTCTGTGTAACAAGAAAAGTCAAAGTTTTCTTTCTCAGAAGGAAAACAGTGTGGGTGTATTTAGTACAATACATGGTGCAGGGCAGTGCTTTAACAAATGTCTGCTTCTCTATCTCCCCTGTTTGTATAAGAAGACCTTCAAAAGAGTCCACGAAATTCATCTAGCCTGCAAAAATGACTCCACTGCTTGGCGAGTGGGCTTAATAATTTGCAGTTAAGAGCCTATTTTCAAAAAGAAAGCAATTTCCTCTTCTAGCTGAATTTTATCTGGAAGGAAGTCAGCATATAAACTACACCCAAGCCTTCTACCTTGAGTTCGCCACAGCACGGTCGTGCTTCCTCTGGGGACGGATACCCCACTTTAAAGGACTGACTTCTGACAGGACGCGCTGGATTTTTGTGGAACAAATGGGCGTTTTTCTTGGATGAGGTGTCCATTATGAAAACGTTCCTTATCCCAGCCTGTCAAAGTTGATTTTAAAAGGAAACAACAATTTAATTCTGATCTACATAATTTAAAAACGTTTCCATTTCACAGTAGACTACAGTTCTATAGGTATAATTTAAAGGGTCGCTATCTCCTCTTACCACAGAAAGTTGGCAACATTTTTCAATTAAAATCAGACAGGATATTTGATTAACGAATCCTGCCATCGAGAGCCTACAGCCAGCGTTCCTTTTCAGTCTCTTCACTTTGAGCCTCATTATAGCAAAGAATAAATTTCCATGTTGCCTTTGGAATAAATAACGAGGCAGAAATTTTCTGACTTTGTGGTCTCGCCAGATTAAACTGGGCGCGAGCAGGAAGAGGAAGAGGAATCCAACCTCTTGAATATTGATTCATTAGAATTAAGGCTTCCAAGACTCAATGAATAACAGAAGCTGTCACCATCCCAGACCCCTGAAGCACCTTAGCATTCCCGTGGCACCCGAGTAAGGATTAAAGCGAAGCAACAAGGAAGAGGTCCAATTTGTGTACCACTTGGCTAATGAGGAAGGAATGTGAACGATAAAGTTCTAGTGCCTAGACTGAATTTAGATGAAAGGACAGGCTTTAGTTTGCCTTAGAGGAAGGGAAGCCCTCCTCATGCTTAATTCCCACCCTCCCCTCTCTCTTCCTCCTGACCAAACTCATAACAGTTTTGCACAATCTAACCCTATTTCTCCCTGTTAACATTAATATTTACACATCCTGTGCTACACTTTGTTAGCTTTCTACATGAGCCAGAGTTTGTCCGATAATCTAATGCATGCCACAGGATTCAAAAATTAAAACAGCATGGCTGTCCCTGTTGGTTACAAGATGCCCACTTGTACACAAATAGAGGTTTTCTAACCCTCATTACACTGACTGCAGAAATAATATTTGGAGTAAAACTTCATGCATGTGGTAGAATTTAGGATTGTTCTGCTTATGTATATACAATCTTGACCTTGTTAGCCAATTCTTCTTCTTGGTTTATTAAAGTTCCATCATTTGGCATCACAGATAGCATTTCATTTTTGAAAAGAAAATCAAGGAATGATGGCACGACTCATGTTGAAACACAAAAGTAACAGCCGACAACCCTAACAATTTAAAAATGGAGTAGATGTCTTTACTCTTTATTTTATGGGAAACGTACAAGGTTTAAAAGAGAGGGGCAGGGACTTTTTTTTAAAATACTATAAGACATAAAGTAAATGACAGGATGCTTTATCAAGAGATCATCTCTAAGGGAAGTAAGCAGAGAATGACATGGATTCACTGATGCTGTTTATTTGATACAACTGAAGGGACCTGCGTTATGAAGTTTCATGAGGACAGCATAGAAAGACAAACTTCAGAACAAACCTATAGATGATAAACTCCCCCAAATGTTACCAAAACCAAATCAACTGCTCAATACTTTAATTGGAATTATTCTAAAAAAAATCAGAAATTGAGTAATAGTAGTGGTTGATAACATTCAACATCCATTCCTGATAAAAACAACAACAATAAAACAATAGTAACAGAAACAAAACCAGAACTCTTAAGAAACACTGTTAGCAGTCTGGGGTACCAACTTTACCTACCTACTAAATTACTGAGATTGGATGTCCAAAACAATGCGGTGCAAGAACAATCAAACTCTACTTGAGAAACACAGGCTCCTGCAATGTTGAGTAGGTTTCATTTCAACAAGTCTACCCAGTACCTGATGGAGAATATCTAGAAACAGTCAATGTTTAGGATGAAAAATATCCAAACAGCCAAATGATCTAAATGGCCAACAAATTATGGGGATGTCTCACAACGAAGTCTTAGAAGCCACTGGGAGGTAAAGTGAAGAAGCAAATACAGAAATTGAACAGAGAAGAATGTGCTTTTAAAACAGTGCGAAAAACAGAATGATAAGAAATGAACTTACACGCAGAGAAATAAAGTTTCAGCAACTTCAGTGAAAATGCCTTATTTCTGGTGAATGTCATTGCAGAGAAGTTTTTAATGTTAATTAAGTCTATGCATATTTTCTAGTTTTTCCATAATAAACATGCATTCTACATAAAAATATTATGACATTAGAAACCTAAAAATATCACTACATAAAAACAAATAGCCAGAAAGATTTTTAAACACAAAAGGAATAATAGTAAATTTACAACTCAAGATGTGATTCTTTCCAGAAACTATACAATTAAAATTTGAATTTTTTTAGGGGCTATCAACATACTTCCTTCCATCAGACACGATTTTGAAGCTGTTAACTAGATTATGCAACACATCACTTGAACTAAATCTTTCTTTCAAAGAGCAAATGGTTTGATTATTAGCTGCTCATGCCAAACAGTAAAACATACTGGAAATAATATTTTTAAAATCTGAGGTATCTGAGTATGCTATCTTCTTGTATCTGGATGTGTTGACACAATCATTCTTACTGTGATCGGGTGGTGAGGACAAAGAGCAGACACCCTGATCTGGGTCAATATTGTGATCGGACAAAGTAACACTCTTAAAAAATTGACACTACATAGTATTGCTGAAGCAAAACTGCATCTAAATGGCTAATATGCAAATCAACATGACTGCAGTATGGTCTAAGCAGGTTTCAGCTTGTGTGAGCTTCTCAGTGCTTTGAAAGGATGGGGAGAAAAGTGTGATGACATGAATGTAAAGACTTCTGCAGTCAAGACCCCTTCTCTTCCGCTGCATTTGTGTAGCAGGACTAGAGCACAGTTTAGAGGGACATGCATCTGATATATCCTTGGTCCACTTGAGTAGATTTTTCAAAAATAATAATAAAAAGGCAGATGGCAAAGTTTCATTCAATATTCTAGGTTAGGGCATACATACTCCAGAATCTAAAACAAACAAGCCAAGCTGGTAGTTTTTAAAAAAGCTGAATTTTCTGTTCACATGGGTTGGTTTGAGAATCTAGTCTTTAAATGAGTATAGACGGCCAGGGTCAGTGAAGTTAGTCACACATATATACATGGGCCCTTCTGCTCTGGACCAGCTCTGTGCAGCCACCCTGCATGGGCTGTCCCAGAGGTCAGACAGTAACCACACCCAGCCCTCCCCTCTCAACAGCTCTGCACCAGTCAGGTGCTCTGACTACTCAAGAGCTTAAAAACTAACCTGTGGTGTTTGGTGAGGAGCAATGTGCCTTTCATAGAATACTGATCTCCCATCCCTAACAACAAATGATTTTACTATCAGATTCACATTTCATAAGCACTACTTCTATTCCGAGTGATATATGCATATATTGTAATCTTTAAAATAACCCCCAAACTTCAAAATCATCTTATCTACTTATAAAATGATTTGGCTAAGAGCAGTTAAGGTTTCTGTCAGAGGCTACGCAACTAATAAGCATCAAAGCCCAAATTCGAAAGCAGATCTGTATTTACCTGGCTTCTCCAACCAGAGAGACTTTCCTATTTGACCCAGCTAACAAGGGAACCCACTGCCTTTTACTGAAGTGTCATGGAAATCAAAGTCTTGCAGAAATCAATGTCAAATTATCAACTTCTATCCTAGGAGAGCAAAGCATAATGCTCACACAATTAAAAAACACTAATAAATGAATGAATGAATAAATCAATAAATAAAAAGAACCCATTCTTACCTGGAGGTAGAGATCAAAGCTGGCCAGTTCTCAGAAAGTTCAGCAAAAGGCTGAATCACAGGGCGCAGCCTGAAAGAAGAAACTGAGGCAACACTCCACAGCAGTTCTGAGTAGTTCTGGCAAGTCAAGAGAGCTGGTGGGCACAGACAGAACAGATTAGAGAAAAGAAAAGACCAAGGGTCTGGTCTCACTCGGGGCAATCTTTCTCTTTCGCCTTTCCAGTTGGCCTCTTTTTTTCTGGCAGTCTGGAGGGAATTGGGCACCCTGGCAAGGGCACTGCCCTGCGCCTCAGCTCCTAGGGTGCGGAGAGCGCTGGAGACTTTGAGCCATTTCTTTGCAAACTGCAGAAAGTTTAAGGCCACACGTGATAAAGCTTTGTTTATAGGAGAAAGAGGAAAAAAGAAAAGACCACTGTGATTTGTACTTGCTGATCCCAGAAAACACAACTCCACAGGGGGGTAGGAGGAGTAAGGAAACAGGAGCCAGGACAGGGGAAGGAAGTTTGTAACAAAGACCCCCCCCCCCCCTTCTTCCAAGCAGTTCTACAGCCAGCGGTTCCTTAGGGATATCAATGGCCAGTCTTGTTGTGCTGCATTTGTTTGTTTGCTATTATTTAAAAATATATCCTTGGACTAATTCCTGGCATGGTTTCCTCTCCCCTTGGGATTCTAGAATCTGCAGGAACACTTTTAGGTCAGAATCAAAGCTCTGCGGGCTCCTTCCAGGTGGAGTTCATTCTCAAAGAAAAAAAAATCAGTAGCTTTCACCCCACCCCTTGATCCTTGAAATTTGACAAAATAGCAGCTTCACTTTTGGCATTCGATTGTGTATGCTACCTAATCCTGAATGAAGAGAATGCCTTGCTCTGAGAAATTGTACAACTCAAATAAATTCTTTTCCCAAGAGAATGATTTTTAGAGGATTTTGAACAGCATTAGTTTACATTTTGTTTCCACCTGTAAGGGAATTTGCCACCGGGATTCTCCAAGGTTCAACTGGTTCTTCCAGGGCTGTAACTCCGAGTAGGCCACTTAATCTCAACATGTTCCACAATGGAACTAAATCTTTGGTCTTCAAAATGAGATTTCTAGGGACAGTCCAGTGATTAATTATGTCATGCCCATTACATATGAAAGCCCCAAAGGAGCTAACAGTGCTTTATCACAGTTGTAATTCCAGTTTCCATGGTGGTCAGGATGATTAACCACCATTTTTAAAAATTAATTTTTGTTTTTATGTGTATGTGTGTGTGCTTCTATGAGTTTATGTGTACCATATGCATGTAGTACCTGCCTAGTCCAGAAAAGGGCAGTGGATGTCCTGAAACTGGAGTTAGACATGGTTTTGTGAGCTGCTGTGTGAATATTGAGAACCAAACCCCAATCCTCTGCAAGCGCAGCAAGTGCTCTTAACCACTGAGCTATCTCTCCAGCCCCATTAACCAACAATTTAAAGAGTACATTTTACTACAAAGTAATAAAACAAGAAGCAAAGAAACTTGGATTTACCTTAAACTTTACAAAGAAACAATGGACTGTGTGTGGTGCTGCATGCTCTTAATCCCAGCACTCTGGAGGCAAAGGCAGATCTATCTCTGAGTTCAAAGCCCGCCAGGGACATATAGCAAGACACTTTCTCAATAAAAGAAAAGAAGAGAAGAGAAGAGAAACAAAAAAAAGAGAAAGCAATGGTGTTTGGACTGTTTTTTGACTAAGTTCTTTATTTTAGCAATCAAACTGGGCTTTGCCATCAGAAGTAGGGGTCAAATATCTTTGTAAGTAGATATCAAATATCTTCCAGTATGTCCACAAGTGGCCATTGGCTATCAAAGGGGGAATGGTGTATGCCAATCAAAAGGACTCAGGACTTTTTTATCTTTATCAAAAAGAAAGAAATAGTAATTCTCCCCTTTTAGTATAATTTGGACTATTTCAGTGTTTTTCAAATCACTCTCTAACAGGACTCTTTTTCTTACTTTTACAAACCGTAGTCAACATGACTACAGAGAATGTAGCTAAGTTTCACGTATTTCTTAGGGCTTCTGGAACACAGCCTTGTCTGGATCATATCCTATTGCACATTTTCATTCTCACCTTCAAATTTTGGAGGCCCACTCCTTAAACTGTGTATTGAGACACCAAATGGAGTTGCCTACCTCAACAGCAGGGATCACACACACACACAAATGTGCCAACAGTACAACATTTCTGAGTGTTTAAAGGTCAGAGTTAATTCAAAATCAAATGGGTACCAAATCTGAGGTGCTTGAGCAGAGTTCAGCTGTGCTCTATCGTGAGACTCCACCGAAGCCTTGGTTCTGCACACACAGCATGTCCATTCGGCCTTGAGCATGCCTGTGTGGCCCACAGTGCCCACAAATGCAGTCTGAAGCACAGGCTCAGATTCCAGGCAATTTTATATTATGTGTTGGCAGAGTTTTGACCACAGGGCTGAGTTTTCTGCTCTTATAGAAGCAAAGTGGTTTAATTAGAGAAAACACAGACTTCATGCTTTCCTGTATCATTCTTCAGTCTACATCAAAGTATCATATATTTATACTGCATTCTGCTAAAATGTTTGAGTTTTGAAACTTTATGTTTGAATTGCTGACTTGAATTTCATTTTAAAAATTCCTGAAATTAATTTTGGTTTGCAATTAGGACAGAATTTCCAGTAACTTCTGAAATGGCCCTAGCATACTTTTGCTGTTTTGCACCTTATACTTCTATAAAAACCCATTCTCAGCATTGGTGTTTATAAAATCAAAGTTTCAATCAGCTCTTAAAACTACTAAATATGCTTTCTATCCTGCAGTATCAAAAATTACCCAAGATTTAATTTTTATGTAAAACAAACACGCATCTCATTAGAATGCAAATTTGCTTTAATCTTTTACATTTGGTAAACTTGTATGTATACCAAAGAATTGCTTTGAAATAAATTTCTTTATGATTTGCCACCATTAAATGTTGGATTTATTTGATACATATACTTGGATTTATTTGAGACATGTGCATATCTGGGTCATGTAAAAATTTCCCAGGAAAACAAGTGTGAGTCGAACAAACAGTAAGGAACTTTTCTCTAGGTAGGTCGGAGGTCAATGAGGAGTCATGGCATCTCTGGAACAGCCATTCAGCTCTACCCCTGTGCTGAGAAACCTCCCAAGGAGTGACTGCGAATCTAATACCTAGGGCTGCAGTGAGGGCTTTGACCAAAATAAAACAACAGAACCACAAGCTGACTCTCACTCTCTCTTTTGCTCACTCACTCACTTACTCACTTACTTGGCTCTTGCTCTTGTGAAGGTGGGCGTGTGTGTGTGTGTGTGTGTGTGTGTGTGTGTGTGTGTGCGTCTTAGTTCAGGTTACTATTGCCGTGATGAAACACCATGACGAAAGCAACTTGGGGAGGAAAGGGTTTCTTTGGCTCACATTTCCATGTCACAGTCCATCTTCAAAGTCAGGATAGAGCAGGAACCTGGAGACAGGAGCTGATACAGAGGGCATGGGGTAGGGAGCTGCTTACTGGCTTGCTCTCCATGGTTTGCTCAGTCTGCTTTCTTATAGTACCCAGGACCACCATCTCAACAATGGCTCCACCCACAAGGGGCTGGGCCCTCCCCATCAATCACTAGTTAAAAAAATGTCCTACAGCTGGATCTTATGGAGGCATTTACTCAACTGAGATTTCCTCCTCTCAGATGATTCTAGCTTGTGTCAAGTGGTCTACAGAGAGAGATCCAGGACAGGCACCAAAACAATACAGAGAAACTCTGTCTCAAACCCCCGCCCCAAAAAAAAGCCAGCAGAGTGTGTTAAGGAGTGGGTAGGTCTAGTCATATCTGAGAACTATAGAGGAGACTCCTTTCTTGCCTCTTCCACTTCCTGGGTCCAGTCAGGGTCTTTGGCTTTCTGTGGTGAATGGAATCATAGAGGTAATTTCTGTCTCTGATATTGATATGGGAATATCTGACTGTCTTTCAAAGCAGAGAAACCTTTCTTGGCTCTTGTATTTGGCTTGGGAACTTATGGTCCTAGGAACTCAATGGCTACCAAAGCCACTGGAAGCCAGATGTTTTTGAGTATCTGTCTTGCAAATCTAAAAAAATGGAATTCACAGACCAGAGAAGCCGAGTTTTAGAGAAGCATTTTATTATAGGGTGCTTAGGAGAAAGAATAAGGAGCTCTTAAATAGCTGGAGGGGTCCCGGGAACAGGGTACCTTGCATTGGAGTTAATAAGGCTTTAGTGGATGGAGGAAAGAGAAGTGGACATAAACTGGTCCCACTCAGTCCAGTTTCCATTTTAAGTATTCAGGTAACTCTCAGTTTCAGTCCAATTCTCAGTATAGATTCCAGGAGCCATACTTTAGGAGAAAAGAGGTAAGGAAACACCTCACCCTCTGGCATCTCCAGTTTCTGGCCACAGCAGAACCAGATGAATTTTTTACTTAGAAGCTTCTAGCATTTTGGCCTCTGGCATGAACAAGGCTGCGTACATGCCTAAGGGCATTTCCAACTTTTAGATAAGAAAGAAACTGGTCACACTTTGGGGTCCTTTTACTCTTAAGTGCCTAGCCAAGGTCTACCACCTGTCATCATTCTCACTTAGCTACCCCGTCTCCTGTGTTTCTGTCTTCTGTTCTTGAAACACTACTAAAACCTTTAGGATTTTCAATTTGGTTGCACCTGCAAAATCCCCATTGCCAAGGTAGGGTGCACTCAGAGATACAGGGGATTAGAATTATAGCACAGGGTTGCAAGAAGCAGTTGCCATTCACCCTAACACTCATTTTCTTACTACCGTTCTTACCTCAGTAGCTTCATGTGATCACTAACTTCTGTACACTCAGTTCCCCTGCCCCTCTTTCTATGTGTTGTCCTTTCTTGGCAAATCTCACTGACTTGAATCCAACTTTCTGTTTATTCCACTTTTATCCCTACACTCTTGAAAATGAAGACCCATTCATTAACATGCCCTCAGGGTTGATTTTGTATTCATCATCACTAATTTAACTGGACAGCAGATTAATTGTTGGGCAGAATACATTTTAATGATCCAATCATTTTCCCTCTTTCTTAAATAACTTCTCTAATCTCCCCCCTCCCCATCCCCCACAGCCTCAAATTTTAGCTAGTGGCCTAACTGAGGGAAGTCACTGATGAAATAGGGAGGAAGAGGCAGGATAAACAGCAGTCTGCCACCGTTGTATCTATTCTCTGCCTTTAAGGCTGTTAATGGTGTCTGTCTTCTCCCTTCTTGATCTTGTGGAAGAACTAGCCACACTTATAATCTCTAGCTTAGGTATACACTCCTCAATTTCTTTTCTTCCATTGTTTTTTTTTCTACCAAAACCAATCACTGTTTTGTTTCCATCACAACTATTT